TTAAATCGTTGACAAAAGATAATATTTTGTATAAAAGTATGTTTTAAAATGAATTTTAACCTACTTTATAATTAATTATTTTAATTTTTATAGAAAAAAAATAAGATTTTATATATATATATACTCAGAAATATTTTTTGCTCAATCTGCTCAGCAAAATTTCTTTTTTGCTCAGAGAAGTGTATGTTCTGCTCATCTACAAAAAAAATTAGAGGGAACATTGAAGACAACTGGGTGCTACTTGCACTATTTTTGCAATTGTATTAGAGAATGTTCTCTACATTAGGGAGTATTTTGAGATAGAGATAATGCTTTTGGTCTTTTTTTTTAAAGTGGCCACTTTACATTTTGTTTGGAAATGCCACAGACTCTTTTTTTAATGATTCTACATCAATTATGGAACCATTGTATATACTATTAATTCTATCCATTACTTCCAGTCATTCATCTCTCAAAGTACTTTTTTGAAGTACGAAGTTTTCAGTTATTTTTGAACAAGTTAGTGGGGGTAAAAAAATGGCACATACGTCCAGTTACTACTGTGCATGTGACATTTTACAATAATTCCAGAATCAATAAAGAATATTTGAATATTCTTTGATCTAACATGTTGACCACTGAACAGGACATGTTGATCTGAACAACTGAACCCTTTCCAAACTTCTGATGTCATACAGCCAAATCCTGCAGAGACTTTTTGAGGACAACATTAGCATTTATAAAGGTACAATCTTAATATTTTAAATGATGTCAGAATCACACAAAGAAAACCAATCAGTTCAAAAGAAAATATGACCAAACCTAGAACAAAGGTGGTCATCTGGAAAGTAAAGATTTCCATCACAGTACCAAATCCTCTGATTCAAACAGTGTTGACAAAGAAGTGTGACTAATGAATGACAGTGACACTTGACAATTCTTTGTCAATGCTGTTTGAGTCAGAGGATCCTATGTTGATCACATTCTAAAACCATTGTTTGAAGAGCATCTGCCAGAAATACTTTGTGCACTCCAATGAGATGCACAAAGTATTTCTGTATCACAACAAAGTAAGCTCATACTACCTGCAAATGACTGAACAATATCTTGAGTACTTTTATCAGAAAATGGAGATTAGTTACATCTAAAAAGACATTGAACAGTTGCAATCTCAGTCCTGTTGACTTTGGATTTGGATGGCTGAAACCAGAAGCTGCTTATCCAAAAACAGATAACATTAGTTGATGTTTGGAAAATTTCCAAATAGAAGTGGTTCAAGATTGATGTTGAAATGGTCAAAAAGGTCTTCAATTTGTGGAAACAGCATTGTTAGGCAATGTACATAAGTAATGGGGGTTAAGCAAATAAAAAAATTTGTTACGCATTTGTTACATTGACATCTCTTGTAATGAATGTGTTCAAAAATAACTAAAAAATTCTGTATTACTATTTATTTTTTCCTTAATGTCTAATGCAAACTCAGTTATTAAAATTTATATTTTTGAGGAAACATTATTACCTGACTTGTGAGACATTTTGACAAGCTTACTTGAATTACTTCATCTCTATATTACTGTAATGTGATTTGAGCAGAACAAGAAGACACTAGTTTTGGTACTCAGATTGGCTTGGTTGCTGTATGTGGGCTCATGACAAATACATCCAAGAATTATTCAAATACCTAGCAGAAGTTTGTGGATTAAGCCTGGTAATAAATTTTTTAAGGGAACAATTGATACTTACTTTCTGCAGGACTAAACTCTTCAAAGCTATGTTTATCTCAGATTATCTAGTTTTAATTTTTAAATAATTTCTTATTATTATTAATACCAATATTATTCTCTCAAACATAATTTGTTATGGAGTTATACTAGTATCAGTAATATATAGTAGTCAGCATTTAGAGTAAACATTAACCTACTGGAGGCTTTCTCTTTGCATAGGCTATAAGATAAATAGCACTTTTGAAAAAATTATCCAATATCAACATTCACTATTTATTCTTAAAATAATCCTAAAAGTTTTCTTGTAGTACAGTAGTACAAATTAAGTTGATGGAAAGAAATTCCCTTTGAATAATATAGAACATGAAGACTTTTCCTCTAGGTAACTATTTTTCATTTTCCTAAACTAAAATATATTTAAAGTGAAGATTGTTTTAAAATAAAACAAATACTTTATTTCAAAAAGTAAATTCTTTTAATGCAAAAATTTAATTAACAATCCAGAACATTGATTATTATTAGTATTTTCTGTCATATGTTAAGGTTTATCTCAGATTCCTCCAGCAAGTTCATACACTTTTTCAGCCACTTCTCTTGCTAACATATCTGCATTCTCCTGGAAAATTAAAACTAGTTATTATAAAATGTTTAAGTTAGGAATATTTACTTTTATATTATAAAATAATAATGTGTGTCTACTCTCTTTACACTTCAACTTATCTGGACCAAATTTTTCATAATTACTCTCTAAGACCTTATGGAAAATAAAGGCTACCAGTCTGGATATGGAATTGCATTAATCAATGAAGGTGATTATGGCAATTCTGGATTTTGAAGTTCTGTTAAATTAAACCATTCATTTGAGTTAGCCTCAAAAACCAAACTTTTAAAAAGACCAAACATTAAAATTATGACATCTGAGAATATTTTCTAGTTCACTAGCAAATATGCATGGCATATGTATAATGTGGTTTAAAGTTATAATTGTGTAATTAAAGGATATTTTTCTCTATTGTGGGATATTCAGGATTGCAAAAAAGTGATTGAATATCATAAAAGAATGTCTATGTAAAGCATGCATGTAGTGTTAAGTGTGAAAATATCAATAATTATTCTAAAATGTTTTAATCCAAAGTAAAACAAACTAAACTTGAATAAAAAATCAAAATAAATTTGATGCTTTATATGATGAATAACAGTTGACTTAGCAAACTTTTTAACAACATTTTCTTAACTCTGTTGCAGATATTAATTAATTTTAACTTTTATCACAAACCTGTGTTGTTGCTTCAGCATAAACTCTAACCAAGTCTTCTGTTCCTGATGGTCTGAAATGAAAGTATAAACAATGTTTTCATTTTTAGATTGAGAAATGCATTTTATGATTATGAAATAAATTTAATTTGATCATAAAATACGTTAATTAAAAGAACTTCTGACTACATAAAGTTATGGTCTGTAAAATAATAAACGAAAAAGATAGTTAATCACAATTTACTTCTTATTGGAACACACAGTTAACTTTTTAGTTTTTTTGTACCATTGTTTTATCACCAGATTTTTATTTTAAATTAAAATTATCAATCTGTTCTAATCTGAAGAAGCTTTAAATAAAAGTGGCAAAAATGGTTATTTTAAACTTTTTAATCTTTATTGTTGATAAAATTGCAAATCTTTTAATTTGGACTTTTCACAAAGAAGGATGCCTATATATTTCTAGTTAAAATTATTTTGCACATGATATAAAATTGGAAATATGACTCTTTTAGAATAGTAAAATAGTTTGCTAGTTATTTTGTATTTTTAAATTACATTATACAGTATAAATAAATGGTCATCATCTAGGTTAAACGAGTTTGCTTATTTTCTACAATGGTTTCCATAAATTCAGGAATAAATAGGAAATTGCAATAATTTGGCTAAATACAACTCATTTGCCTAAAACATATCTGAGTTTAGTGAATATTGAGTTGTGCATTTGCATATACCTATGTAAGTACAAGAGCATTTAGCAATGAAAGAAAAAATATCAAGTTAAGCCATTTTCTTAAAATGACATTCATTTACTAGTGGAATTACATTACAGAGCTTTAGGCAGACTTAAAGCAGGTGGCAGGTTGCAAGATGACAATGTAAGTCATTCTGTGGTCCATAGAACTTTAAACCAATTCCAAACCATATGGTCTGTCTACTTCTTGAATATATAATCAAGGTAGGTGAAGGACAACTACCTGCTTGAAAGACTGCTGTTTGGGACTATTTGAACAACAGAATGGAACTATATGAAGGGTAAGTACCTGATAATTATGCATATCCCTAACAGCTCGCCACAGGAGGGAACATTGGAATTGGGAATGTATGCAGGTTAACTGGAGCCCAAATCAATGGAGATCTGTACTTTTTATGAATGAGTTGTTGGTTTTTTTATAATGGTTTACAGAGTGATTCTCAACACGTTTTCATCTGGAAATACCCAATATCATCTCTCTCATATTCACAAAAGGAGCTTGTTTGGGACACCACCAACTGGGCAATAGCAAGTGGGCACTGGACATCTGGGCGATAAAATAAGAGATCAATAATAGACAAAATACAAATTTTTTGTTGTTGTTTTCTGTATTAAAATCACCATTCTTTTCTACTGATCTACTGCCCAGTAAATTTTAACTCATTTCTTAATTACAAAATCTTTAAATAATAATTTTTAACACATTTATACATGTTACATACATTATTTATTTTTACAAGTAAAGACCTGAAGGACAGTTGATGTTTACCCCAAAATGAACAAATATGCATAAAACAAAGACAACTACTACATGAAATTAAAAAAAAATACATAATATACATTAAAAGAAAAAGTATAAAAGTTCTTTGAAGGAATTTGTTTTCAAAGAACTTCTTTTCTTTGATGTGCTTTGTTAGATTCAGACATGCAATAATTAATGATACTACAGTACATAATTCCAAAATATTTCCTTTTCCTAAGTTAGAAATAACTCATAGTTTAAGACTTATAACATATGAGTTTAAGTTGTAATCATTATATATATATAATGGATATATATGTATATCTATAAAATATGCTTGCTAAGCATACAAAAATTTTTGTCTTCCCCCCAATTAACTAACACTCAGTTGACCATCATCCAGCTGTCCTATATCCCTTTAGATGTATGTAGTGTGTGACTTCTATGAGCTACTATATGGAAATTGACAGTTCAGAGATACTGCAAGCATTATATGCTTTGTGGTATGCCTCACACAGATTGCATGGTGCAACAATACTTTGAAGAGGAGACTATGGTCCATATCCAAATACCCTCCCATACCAGAATTTTGGTTGGGATTCTCTTGGAAGGTGTCTGCCCTCCATACTGCAAGGATTTCAAATATTGGATGTTACTGCCTATGGATTTCATCATCAGCAAGGAACATCACTGTTTGGGGTAACCACATTCCTTATTGAGATGATTTTTTCAATTTAATTTAGTTTATTTGTACACTAAAAACAAAATACAAATGTTTTTGTGATTTTCATTAACATATGGTATGGTAAAGAGTACTACCACATTAGATTCATATTTTTTTTCATTTGTGTTTTAATTATTTCATTTAATTTATGGAAACTGTATATTTCAATTAGCAACTTTCCAAATATATGACCAAAAATTTATTAATTGTTTAAAGAATGTTTAAAAATCAAATGGCAAAAATAATAAATACAATTTAATTTGATTGTTTTCTTGCTGTTTTTCTAAATGAACTGCCTGATTGTCAGCTGTAAATTTAAAAATATATGTGTGTAAAGTTTATTACCTGACAAAAGATCGTCCATTTTCATATTTCTTAACAAGTTCATCAATAGATTTCTGAAGGCCATTTGGAGTGACACACTTTCTTTCTGCATCAGTAGTTGTAATGACTGTTCTATCTACAACCTGTTACATATTAGAATTTCATAAATAATTCCTTTAAAACTGAATTAATTAAATACAACAAAACATACTTTAACTTTTAACTGTTTGTTGGGTAAATCTGCATATAAATTGTTCCAAGTAGCAATGTCCCAATCAAAAGTGTAAAGTATTGTTTCCACCAAAAGCATATCAGAAATTGCATCACCAGTAGTCTAGAAGAAAACAATGACATAAAACTCATTAAAGACTGTATAAAAGAAAAGAGTAGATTTTTTTATAAATCATAAAGTCAAAAACTAAATTATTTTTACAGTAGTAAAAGAGAGTATAAATTAAAATTGTTATTTTTCTTGTAATGTATCACATTATAAGAAAAAATGACAATTTTAATTTTGAATACAGTTGGGAATTTGTTTTCTTAAAAATCTCAGTTTTATAGAATTTTGCACAATAAAAATAACAGGGTTTACAGAAAAATATCTAGTTTGTTCTATCAATAATTCTTACTATTTCAAGTTTCTCAATACTCAATGCTCTCTCTTTTTGTTGTTTGGATTCTTATAATCTGGTAAATGATTTTTGGGATGCTGCATTAAATATACTTATTGATAACATAACTCAATGTGTGTAGACAAGTATACGAGCCACTGCAAATAAAAGTAGTTTAACTTAATTTTTTTTTTAAATGGACTTAATGATGACATTAATTACAATTCTATGTGAACTTTTTATTTTCAAACAATTTGCAGTCAAGATAACAAAATCATGGCAATTTTGAATAACTATGTATGAAATTGCAAAAAAAAAATTTTTTTTTGAAAGTGATTTAAGTCTATTTTTGAAAACTTTTAAATTGATACACAGTATGTTATGTAGTAAAATAACTGTAGGTGCCAGATTTACTTTACAACTACATTAATTCAATTCATTATTACCATACTTTTGCAAATAGACCAACATGCCAAAAAATCTTTGAAAATATGGTATGAAAATTATCTGCGAGTATAGAAAAACAAAAAAATTAAAAATACTGATGGAGAGCCTATAAATTAGTTAAAGCTATGTTAGATGTGATTTTTGAGAAGTGAACACTATAAANATGGAATTTTAATTAATATATTAATTTTTATTTAAAATATTTAAATAATGAATATTGCTATTATGCTATACTTAAGTCCAAAAACTAAGCATAATCAACCAAACCATATAAAGAGTATAACAAACAGCCAAAAATTTATAGACAATAAAAGTATCCAGGATGTTAAATATTCCATTAAAAAGCACAAGCATGTGCAAGATATGCAGACTTCATAAATACAGCAGTAGCATGGCTTTGTTTCTGTTGCAGCTTAACCATCAAGGACAGTTTTTTTACAGTTTTACTGTATTATATTGACAATGATAATGCCACAAAAATGCCAAGTAGACAATTTCATGAAAGGAAGAACTATTGGAAGACTAGTAGGCCAATCAAGACAGATGTGTCCAGGACTCTGAATGTGCCAAAGAGCATCATATCCAGGCTTTGGGTTGGGTTTCAAAGAATAGGAGATGATGGACATCATTCAGAAAGTGTCCAAGAGTTACACCCTTTAACAAGACCAGTATTTGGCATTAATATTGCACTGTAACAATTGCATATCTGAAAGACTGCTCTGTTGTGAGCTGTAGACATTCTAGTGGTAGACAGTTCACTACAGAGCTGTTTATGGCCCCCTTGTGTTAGAATTTTACAACAAACTGTTTACAGGCTATTTACAGGCAGTATTGTTTGAAGCAAATGGTCTTTTTTTTTTCGAGATTGCCAGAACATTGCATTTCATTAAACCATGTGTACAGAAGAGGCCATTTATGATGGTGTCAAGAACATTGAATTGTAAAAAATGATAGTATTATCATTTTAAAATTTTAATGTAAAAATAATAAAAGAATCACAAAAACAATGATATTGAGTCTATCTAATAAAATTGTACAAACATGTAATTAAAATTAATAATAATGTAATAACACAAAGTGGACTTATGCCTTTCTAAAATCAAAAACTTCTGTTAGCCATAAATGGACTTAAATAAGTATTTTATTTTTCAAATAATGTTTTATAAGCATTATTCACATGCAAACATAGGAACACATAGGAAAAATTGATTATGTAATAAATTTTAGACATATTTAAAATCAGAAAAACATAATACTAACATATCAGTTACTGATATTTTTTAATCAATATAAATGTAAATCTTTAAATATCTCAATTTAAAAATAAATGGACTTATATGAACTGTTGCAAATGAAAGTGGTTTAAGATGAAGTGTATGGATTTTGTGTTCACTGGGTGTTAATTGGTAGTACAATGTAAGTTAATGGTCATTTGGTGATTTTATACTCATATTTATCTAATGTAAGTGAATAAATTCACATATATGATATGCTTTTCCTAACAGAGAACTGTTCTAATGATTTCATTAGCAATTTAAAGAAAATGTTTTTGATATACAATCGACTCTCCTATAACACTGTTGATTATTCCGTTTTATATGAATTGCATGTTGTATGAGTCACTTAGATTTTATAAATACGTGTGCTGGGCTGTGAATGGCTCACATATTTGTAAAATCTAAGTGACTCGTACAACATAGAATTCATATAAAACAAAATAACCAACAGTGTTATAAGTAAATATACTGATAGTCAGTCAAACTCCCCTATAACTGTTTTAACCATGTAAATCAGTCATGAGCAAACTGACCCTGGGCTTCGGCAACACTATTTTATTGTCCTGTTTTCTGTCTCATGCCATTATGAAATACTAATTAAGGTGATATTCATGATGAAGAACATTAAAACTAAACTTAACTACAAAAAAGATAAAGACAAACTATATTTTACTAGTTTACACACCACTAGCATATATTATTTTAGTTCTTAGTGTATTGGCAGTTATGGAGTATGTTGGTTCGCAGCACACTTAAACCTACAACTCCACAAGAAAAAATGTATGCAGTCCATGCAAGCCTACAAAGCTCAGCTACAGCTGTCATCCAAAAAAGGTTACTCATCATTGATTTAAATATTTGAAATTTCAGAGGAATTCATTCAAAATACAATTAATCATAAAATTGTAATTTCAAATAAAATTATAGCATTTCTTTGAATTTCTTAAATATATTCTAAATTACAGAAGATTTTTATTTTTTATTTATTTTTACAAATAAATAAGAAAAGGCCCAAAGGACAATTGATATCTACCCCAAAAATTAACAAATATATATAAAAACAAAGACAAGTACATAAAATTAAAAATTGTATAGCATTTTTACATTTCAATTTAAAAAAGGAAAATTAAGAAACAAAAAAAATCATCAAAATTATTTAAATTTTGAAAAAAAGGACATTTGAGTTACACTCAAATAAAAAAAAATTGAGTGAACACAAAATGAAGGTCATAGGTTTTTCGAAGGGACATGTAATAATAGCTGGTCATAATAAATAAACCCATTAAAAAATAAAAATAAAGTGATCGAAATATTTGATACACTCAAAAAATGAAGGAAAAACCTAATTTAATCCTTGCAAAGTTAGGATTCTGATTATACAGTAAGTTAAAATTTACTTATCTTTTAATAACTTATTTATCAAGAGCTCTACAATTTTTTTCCAAAAGGGAAGGTGCATCTGTAGACCAAATGGGTAATTCATAATCAATGCAAGACTGAAAATTCGTCAATGCATTTTTAGATGAGATAAATGTGGAATATTATGTGTTTTTGTAAACCTAACAGCCAGAGATTTAACTATTTTATCAATATGATTTTTTAAGTTTAGTATCAAAGATTATTCCTAGATCATAATTAATAGGAGAGGAGTCAATGAAAAAGGTAGGTAAAGGAGGATTGCAAATTAAAGCTAAACATAATCTCAAGAATAATATACAAAAAACTATGGTTAACAGATTCAAATAGATTTTTTGCAAGTATATATCAGACTGTAGGATTTTCAGATTGGAACATCTCCCATTTATCTCCAATTTTAATAATTAAACAAAATAAAAGTCTCTTACCTGATTAATCATATCAATGGTGAGAAGAAGTTTCTTAGCTGCAGACTGTTTGTTACTATCACAACTGAAATAAATGGAATTTTAATTGATATATTAATTTTTATTTAAAATATTTAAATAATGAATATTGCTATTATGCTATACTTAAGTCCAAAAACTAAGCATAATCAACCAAACCATATAAAGAGTATAACAAACAGCCAAAAATTTATAGACAATAAAAGTATCCAGGATGTTAAATATTCCATTAAAAAGCACAAGCATGTGCAAGATATGCAGACTTCATAAATACAGCAGTAGCATGGCTTTGTTTCTGTTGCAGCTTAACCATCAAGGATAGTTTTTTACAGTTTTACTGTATTATATTGACAATGATAATGCCACAAAAATGCCAAGTAGACAATTTCATGAAAGGAAGAACTATTGGAAGACTAGTAGGCCAATCAAGACAGATGTGTCCAGGACTCTGAATGTGCCAAAGAGCATCATATCCAGGCTTTGGGTTGGGTTTCAAAGAATAGGAGATGATGGACATCATTCAGAAAGTGTCCAAGAGTTACACCCTTTAACAAGACCAGTATTTGGCATTAATATTGCACTGTAACAATTGCATATCTGAAAGACTGCTCTGTTGTGAGCTGTAGACATTCTAGTGGTAGACAGTTCACTACAGAGCTGTTTATGGCCCCCTTGTGTTAGAATTTTACAACAAACTGTTTACAGGCTATTTACAGGCAGTATTGTTTGAAGCAAATGGTCTTTTTTTTTCGAGATTGCCAGAACATTGCATTTCATTAAACCATGTGTACAGAAGAGGCCATTTATGATGGTGTCAAGAACATTGACATTAGATTTTGAATGAATGGGGCAATGTTCTGTTCAGTGACAAGTGAAGATATATTCTACAGAATGATTCTCATCAGATCTGGACAGAGCAGGAAATGCAATGCAAATCCTTTAAACATAATTTAAAGATACCAATTTAGAAGTGGTAGTATCAAGGTCTGATGGCATTATTTTTAATGGCTGCTTAAAGCTCCATATTTTTTCAAAGAGTACCATTACTGCAAAAAGGTACAAAGACATGATTTTGGAATTTTATATGAGAGTTTGCTGAGGTGCTACGGGTGCAGATTTGATTTTCATTAATGCCTGTGTACCTAGGGATGCATTCATCACCAACTTTCTTCACTGAAGATATTTTCTGCATGGAATGGCCAGCAAGATCTCTCAATCTAAATCAAACATGTCTCCTTAGATCATCCCACAAAAGTTACATCCTGTCAATCTCCACCAAGAACATTACAGGAGTGAATGGAGTATTCAAAGTCCATTTTTAAACACAAGCTTCATGATACTCTTGTTCAAAGATGGATTTTGCTCCTGACATTGCTGATAATGTTATAACTAGCATAAGCAATTATTGTGCAGCATGTATGCACTTGCAGGAGGCAGCCACACACCACATTAATCATTTTTTGTGAAAAAAAGATTTACAATAATACTTAGTACTTTGTTATCATTTTTGGTTTGTAGAAATTTATATTAAAATTTTGTTTTTCAATTTTTTTGTTGCAATGTTCTGCTTATATGGTAAGTTTCATGTTCTGATCAGTAGTTACTGATAGACAAGCCAAATTAATAGTTGTGCTTATTTTTTGAACTCATATCCATTAGATGTGTTACTAAGAAATGAAATGTAACAATTAATAGTTTAAGACCTATTCAAAATATTAAAATATTTTGGAAGAACTGAAAATTATTCAGAGAAAATTGAATGCAATACAATAAAAAGAAACACTGATTTCATTAAATAAGTATTTAAAGAGTTTTGTTTGTCATTGGTCATTGAATAATTTGGAAAACTAAATCTGTGTATAATAAAAATGTGTATTATCACATTATACTGTGTCAAATCTTCACATTGATATGATAAGTAGTTAATATTAATTTACTATCAAATACATAACAGATTATGAACAGAAGAATGAAATGGTTAAGGCAGAAGACCCAAGATCAAATCCAGACAAGCAACTCGAGGAATTTTTCATAGTGGTTTGTCCTAAATATGTTGGATCTCATCCCTCACCACCCATCTGCCTTCTTTAGGGGCCTAATTAAAAAAGCCTTTTGGTGCTCACAAGGCGGAAATAATTAAAAATGAAGCTAAATTTAGTATCCAAAAGTTTGGATGATATAAAGAAAACAAATTGTTGGATTCTTTGAGAAAAACACCAAACAAAAAATACATTAATTTTTTTTTGTAAACATTGATCCAATTGTTACTGTAATGGTTTTAATGTCATTTTCATATGCAACAAGAACAGAATTATTTAAATTATGGAAATCAATATATAAAATATAACAGCAAAACATAAAATATAAAATACCAATACAAAAAAATATATAAAATTTTCTTGCAATGCATTAATTTCAAAATATTTGTAAATATGAATGTAATAAAATCTTCACATTTTTAATATGAATACAATAACAATATATAATATATAGTTTATATTCACTTAAAATGTTTTGTATGAAATCTCAACACTACAGCATCTATTGATGTCAAAAGGAAAGTTATGTACAGTACTGATATAATGAAACAGGAAAACATTGCAAAAATAAAAGATATACAGCCTCACAGAGAAAATGCTACACTATGAATTCGTTGCAACATTATGCAAATTTGAGTATGTTCAAAAAACAAGTTATGCAAACTAATAAAGTTTCAGGTCTATCACATAATAGGAGTTTGATAAAAGTGTAAAATCAGTCTGTGAAGATAACTTGGAGAGGCTGGCATGCTCATGGAAAGTGATTTGTGGCATACTTTTTTGTTTGTGTAAAGATTATAAAGTGAAGATGCCTCTAAGACTTTGTCAAGAGCTATTGCTTAAACAGATGAGTTTACTGAAGGTTTCATCCTAAGGCTACATACAGCCAGTTGATCATCACATCTTTATTGCAGTAGAAACTCAATGGAATGCCACAACTGTGCAATAAATTTGGAAACAGTGGTCAGCAGAACAAACAGTGTATCATCATAATGAAATTGGAGCACTGTCATAACATACGTCATCNTTGATTGTAAAGATTTTAAACCTTTAAAAATCTCAAAAAACGGCAGAGCACAAATCACATATGCTAACTAGAGCTTTCTGTACAATTTACAGTGCCTCTCAAACCCAAGAAAGTTTAAATTAAAATTAAACAAAAAATATCTCACATAAAATTAATAATTAGGTATATTGTTGCTTACACTTATCTGTTTTTTTTTTTCAATGTTTCTTTAGCCCTTTTAAAATATCTATACACACAATATTTTCTACATAAAAATTTCTAGTATCAATTTTTCATTTACCGAATTACCGGTAAATTTCAAAAATTTACCGGTAAGTTTACCGAATATTCTTTTGTCAATTTATCGGTTAACCGGTAAATCGGTAAACCGGTATACAATCCCTAGTTTCAGATGTTATCAGCATCAACACTTATCACCTCTAGTAAACATCAAGAGCACATTGATGGCACACCACTATGTTGATGACGAGCTGCAGCTTGTTGTACTACCATATCTTCAGAGTGTACTCAATGCCATTTTTCAGAAAAATAACATATTGATTTTTTCCCCACAGTGAACATTAGCAAGCATGCTTTGTAAGGTACCCAGATGATTACTTGGTCAGAATGATCCCTAGATCAGTTTCTAATCAAGAATCTACAGGATATGATTAGACATACACTTGAATGGATGCTACATCACATTAACAACTGTATTGCTCAATATAGTGAACCCACTATTAATTGATCATTCTGTATATTGGGCCACGGGGGACATGGAATTGTTTAAAAATAAAACTGATTGTTTAAAACTTAATTCTCTATCTGTGTTGAATTTTATCTCATTTTGAACATTTTTTTCATGATGTGACATTTTCTCTGAGAGGTATTGTATGTCTAACTATCATAGGGTATATACAAGATAGCTTCAAAGGGTTTGCAAAAAAGTTGTTTATTTTCTTAGTGAATGGAACTACACACATTTAGATGACATTTCCCTCAAAGTATTGGCCTTCTGCAGCAACACATTTCATACAGTGGCTGTACAATGATTGGAACACATTCTGGAACCCCTCATTTGCAACTGTGCACATAGTACTTTTTGCAGCAGCAATCACCTTGTTGAAACTGTTGAATTTTCTGCCTTTCATGAGTGTTTTCATCTTAGGAAAGAGGTGAAAATCACAGAGTGCAAGGTCTGGTGAGTAGGGAGGATGAGGGAAGCATGTAACAGAGTGTTTACACAGGTAATGTTGTACATGGATTGACTGATTAGCTGGCACATTGTCAGGAAGCAAAACCAATTTCCCGAAGCCCACAGATCAGGTCATTTTTGTCTGAATGCCTCATGCAATTGGCATAGGATATTCCGGTACCTTTTTCCTCTGGAATAAACTTGTAATGTACTATTCCATGGCCGTCAAAAAACAGTTCCAACATCAATTTTCCCTTTGAGTGATCCAACTTGCACTTCTTCTGCCTGGGGGAGACAACATGTTTCCAACCTGACGACTGGCATTTTGTCTGGGTGTGATACAGGAAACACCATGTTTCGTCACCAGTAATTATCCTGTTTAACACATCTGAGTCTACATCAACAGTGTCAATGAAATTGCCACAAATTTCCATGTGCAATTGACAGTGGTCTGCTGTTAACTGTTTTGGAACAATGTGCTCACAGACTCTGTGCATTTGCAGACCTTAGGTAAGAATGGTGTAACAGCTTCCCACAGAAATTCCACACTTTTCAGTGATGGTAACTACTGATTGACACTTATCTTTGTACATAGTCTCCCAAACCTGCACAATCATTGTGTTGTTGCATGAGGTAGAGGAGTGACCCTTTCTTTCATTGTCTTCCACAGACTGTCTCCCATCAGCAAACAGCTTGTCCATTTGTACATGGAGATTTTCTTCATTGCTGTTTCACAAGCTGCAGATAACATTGCAAGAGTTTCTTGTGGTGTCTTCTTCAACAGGACATTTGATGTTTGTTTGTTGTTCGATGATGGACATTTTGATGATAAACATGAATCCAAAATCTATCTTTCACTCTTTCATGTACTCAACCCTTACACATATCATAACACAATCATGAATGTAATAACTTGATACCAGCACCCTATGATGCTGTGTTTCAGAATTACATACATTTTCCACAAACTTTTCAAAGCTACCTTGTATATTTTATCATAATATAAAAGAAAGTTATAAAAAATTGTAGCCAAACCTGTTTTTGGTAACTTCATTTATTTCATTGATAACTGCTTCATTAAATAAGACCTTTTTTCAGTTTTTCCATTTAAAAAAAAAATTATTTTATTTATATACTAAATAAGTAATTTATAAAAGTCAAAATAATATTAAAGTAAATTTGACATATATACAGAACAATAAAATAAAAATCAAATCATATTAAAAATAATTTTTATTTTTTCTTAAATTTAAGTATGTAATTGTATACAACAAATATTAAGTATCATAAATAAATATAGTCTATATTTTAAACTGTATTCATTTAATAAAAATTTTTAGTTTAGATAAAATATATAAGAATGGTAATCAATGATTTAACATTCTGGAATAATGTCACACTTTGAAAGAAAACATTAGTTATCAAATGTATTCATTTTTTTTAGATTTTATTTTTTTAAGGTCTAATCCAAATTTATATTCAATATTTACAGTCAATATATAATCAACATCTTTAAAAAATGTTTAGAGATCAACATAACAACTTATGTTAATCTCTAAATATGTGTGAATATGTGATAAACAACAGTGTGCTACTATTAATTTTACACACATTTACATATTAAAATTGAATGTTTTAAATTTTGTGAATTTTAAGAGTTTACTTATTAAACTAATACACATTGAAAACTGATAATCTAAATTAAGAGTTATCTTGTTTGAAAAAATTATATTTTATAACACTTATCTAATAATCTTTCATTTTTAACAAAAATTGCTGGGACAAATTCATATTTAGAAGAAAAAATATATATTTCTTACTAGACTATACAATTACATGAGTCCATATCTTCTATCCCTTCACACGCTTATTGTAGAGGCATTAACAAGTCTACGGCGGAACCGCCCTTTTATTTGAGGCTACTATTATATAGTCTAGTAAAAAATATATATTTTTTCTTCTAAATATGAATTTGTCCCGGCAATTTTTGTTAATGTAATTATTAATTTTTATGAATTGTATGTGCCACCGCTAGAGGACTTTTTAACTTTTTTACATTTGTTGGCGGACAGTAGCCTCAAATAAAAGGACGGTTCCGCCGTATACTTGTTAATGCCTCTACAATAAGCGTGTGAAGGGATAGAAGATATGGACTCATGTAATTGTATAGTCTAGTAAGAAATATATATTTTTTCTTCTAAATCTTTAATTTTGTTTAACTTTTCATATAAACTAGGACCATTTAATCATATACAATCTTTAGTTTTAATTATAAATTTTGTATTACAGATGACATATATTTTAAATATATGATCTGATTAACTGAAAACTTAAAGTTTGGAAATGCATATTATTAAATGTATTCTTCTATTTATATTTCTGGCTTATTTCATTTAATGATAGTTAACTGAGTATCAGATAATTGTTTATAAATAATTCATTACTTGATATCTTACTCCTTATTCCATATATAATAATCTCAGTTAAATTCATAAATAATTCAACCAAATTTGATCAATAAATGGCAAAATATTAATAAAACATTTAAACTTAAATTCAATTGTAATTCTATCTGCTTTTAGATATTTCCTGATAAACTGCTGTATATTCAGTTTTTTCTATATATGCTTTAAATTCCTTTCATCTACAATGGTAGTACTGTACATGTATTATACTATTGAAACAATTATGTATATAACAAAAGAATTAAAATATGCTTACAGTTCCATGACCATTTGCTTCAAAGTAAATACCAATGTCTTCTTTTTGAGCTCTATGATGAAGATGCTTAACTCCTGTGGGAACACAAGCAACTGGAATTTTCTGGAAAGTTTAATTTTTTGTTTGTCAAATAATTCATTCATTTTATTATAAAACTTGATCTAATCAATTAGAGGTGGGTAGTTCTGGATCAGAACTATTCCAGACTCAAAACTACTAAGAACAGTTCCACACTAAGTGCTAAGAAAGTTCTAGTCAGAACTACAAATGTGTTCCTTGTTTTGTACTTTTATGATTATAGCTTTTCAGGAAAAACTGAACTCTTTATCTGGTTTTCTACTGAAACTAAATGAAGATGTTCCATGAGTTTTTCAAAATAATCAAATTAAGGAGTATTTTAAATTTACAAAAATATTTTTAAAAATTATATTTTTTATTAGAGTTAGTAATTATTTGTTTTATTAGTAACTAGCAGATATGTATGGCATTGCTTGGCCAAAAAATAAGAAGGCTAAACATTAAAATGAAAGCCATATTACAAAGTGTCAAGGAGATCAAATCAGGAGAATAGTGGAATGTCCAGATTTCATGATAGTCTATATTTGCTTTGAAGTCCCAGAAAATAAGTATGAAAAATTTGGTACATATTGGACAAAGAGTTTAGGAGTTAATAAGGGTGGGATGAAATCAGGGGTAAGGTGTCCAGGTTTCATAGTATTCTATATTTTCCTCAAGAGTTATGCAAGAATAAATTGGAGCAGATGGATCAAAAAGCTAAGAACAGAGAGACACAAACATTCTATTACATACAGAAAACTGACATAGGACTGTCTAGTCCAACAGAATCATCTAGCTTAACAGTTCCAATTGAATGTTCCTCACTTGGATCAGTTCCAACAGTTCTAGTTCCAGAAGCAGAAATGAATTTCCCACCTCTATTATCACTACAGTTATTTTATTTATAAAAACAATTTTTATTATTTACCAATGTATTAGAAATATAATTTGTTGAATTTCCATTAGCATAAGCTGTTTGAACAATACACAGTTTAATATTTGTTAATCCAGTAGCATTCAGAAGATGTTTTAAATAAGTTCCAATTGAATGTTCCTCACTTGGATCAGTTCCAACAGTTCTAGTTCCAGAAGCAGAAATGAATTTCCCACCTCTATTATCACTACAGTTATTTTATTTATAAAAACAATTTTTATTTACCAATGTATTAGAAATATAATTTGTTGAATTTCCATTAGCATAAGCTGTTTGAACAATACACAGTTTAATATTTGTTAATCCAGTAGCATTCAGAAGATGTTTTAAATAAGTTGCAACCTATAATAATTTATAAATAAATAGTTATTTTATAAGCAAATAACAACATTTATGTAATTTTTATATATATTTGATAAAAATTTCCAAGATAGATAAGTTTAAACTTACAAAATTTAAGAAAATTCTTAAAATAGACAATACATAAAAGCAGGGTTGCGGAATCAGTAAAAAAACTCTCAACTCCGACTTCTGATAATTTTAGTAGGCCAACCCCAACTCCAACTCCCGACTCAGGCGAAATTAAATACCAAGCCATTTTATGGGGGCAGAGGTGCTCATAGGGGGTACACTACTCTAAACTCTAAAAGGAGCCTGGGGCATTTACCCAAATACTTTATAGTTAGTATTTTTAATATTTAAATTAATATTTATTTGTATAAAAAAATTAATTTTTAACAAATATTTAATAAGAGGAGAAAGGAGAGATAAAATTATACATCTACATATATTCGACAGCATTTGCACCTCAATTTCACCCTTCCAGAAGAGTTAGTCCAACTAAAACGTGTGCGATCTAGCTAGCTATTTCAGCCCCTTGTTAAGAAAAGAAAAATATGTACTTTCATCAGAAAAATAGAATACTTATTTAGAGCAGGGATAATAAAGGAATGTTTCAAAGATATTCAAATTCAATTGGGTCAAAATAATTTAACTACTAAACACAAATACTACAATGAATACTACATATTTAATAAATTAAATTGATGCATTTTGTATTTAAAATAAATAAATTATAACAAAATACAAAAAGAGTTTTAAAAATTAATAAATATATAATAAATTTTCTTTCATTTAAATAAAAAAACTAAAGTAAATTTAAAATGCAGGAGTCAGAGTCAGAAATTCCTCCCAACTCCAACTCTGACTCCACAGCCCTGAATAAAAATGTCTTCTAACATTGTCATTAAGAAGTGTAAGTTTAAACCTATTTGTCCTAACAATTTTTATCAAATATATTTATTATTTTTTAATTGTGCTGTTGCCAGAGGAAAGATTTTAAAACTTTTGCATATTGAGGTAAATAAAGTATCCTCTAAGAAATCTTAGGTCAAATAAAGTTCAATTCTGTCATAAAACTTAATTCCCTCATGTGCATGCAAAAGGACAATGTTAGAAGACACTTTTACGTATTGTGTATTTTAAGAATTTTCTTTAATTTTATAAGTTTTATATACATGTTTTTCATTTAATAAATATAATCACATATTTATCAAATATACTAATAAATATATAGTAAAATTTTAAAAATTATATTTTGATTTGAAATATTATGTCTATATGATAAAAATTAAATATGATAAAAAAAATTTGAGATATACAGAAGTCAAATATAAAATTCTACATTATTTTTTATATATTTTTGGTAATTCTTTTGTTCTTGAAAAATTTTTTACATAAAATTTGTATTTTTATTTCAAATTAAAATTTATTCTTAAAAATAATTTGATACGATAAAAGATATTCTGATGCATTTTAATAAAACATTTAGCTATTGTAATATGTATATATATATATGTAAAAACTTAAAGAAATATTATGGATCATTATATAATTGCTGAAAAAAGAGAGAAATCTGCCCCAATAAAATATATAAAATTATTTATATTCTCATATAATAAATCATTAAATTATAAATATATTTGTCTCTTTATGTGGAATACTCTGTAAATTATAGATCTGATTTATAATGGCATAAGCTATCATGGTGAATAAACTTCATTTATCCCGTTATAAATTTTAGAATTCTGGATAAGGATTTAAACTTAGATCTTATTGTGTAGTCATTTTGCTGACTATAAAACACTTAAAATTAATTTTTTATGCATTTTTAATAATATATGTTCTTATATATTATTATTTTTTTAATAATATATATATTAATGTTCTTATATATTATTTTAAAAATGATTTTATAATAAACATGATCACACCAAAGATTATTTAGTATTGTATTTTAATGAAATAACCTAAAATGCATAATAGGTATATAATAATACTGTTAAATCTGAATTAATATGTCTGAAAAAGTGTTTGGATAAAATAATTATCAATGTGTATACAAATGACGTGACAGCTGCAAATTGAAATTTAAATCTTTTCCTAGGTATCTACATTATTAGTTAACCTAATTATTAAAATTACTGTGAAATAATGATATATTGATGTCTAATCATTAATAAATTTACTGATCAAATTATATTTAAGTTTATTCCACAAATGTGGCAAAAATTTGTTTATATTTGGCTATTTATAGATGCATACGTTCATTTATTATGCAAAGAAAACTGATTATATAATAAAAACCAATTTTATAAAAACAATATAAATTTAAAAAATCAAGCTATAACTTTTAAAACAGTAAATGTTATATTTATTCATTTTAAAATAACTTTTTTACAAATCCAATTTCAATTAAACATACCAACACTGCAATTTTATCTCCATCCAACAAATGGAATGTATTTTTGGAATCCAAATAATAATATACTATTCTATCTGCATCTCCATCATAAGAAAGTCCTTTATCTCCAACTTCTAATGAAAGGCCTAATTATTGACAAAAATAATAATGTAACATTTTAATAAAGTATTTATATTCAAGAATATATAAATGTATTAATAATACATACAACAAAATTATATTATAAACTAAAATATTGCCATGATAAAATATTAACATTGAGTTAAATGAAGTGAAATAATAAATTTTAAAATATTTTTATCATCGTGACTTTTTGTGAATTTTGAAAATATTTCTGTTTAAACACAATTACATTTTATGAAGAGTAATTTAATAATAAAACTATTGAGTGTTATTGATTAATAATTATATTGATAATTATTTCAAAATTTATCATTTGCAAAATAATGCCATGAGAAAGATTATTATGAGAAAAGAGAATTGTTACTAAACAGAAAAACATTTCTAGTGCCAAAAATTTATACAAAATTGATTGATATATATATGATATTAGTTGCATTTGCATACAATATTGCATACAAAGAAATAAATTCCTAAATTTAATTCATTAGAAATGTATTCAACATATCTTCTTGAAGAGGATAAAATGCAAATTTTATTCCATACAATGATCACTTATTTCAAATTTTAAAATTTTATTTGCTCTAAAATTAAAAAAAAAAAAACATTTTTAACTATTACCAGAATGTGATATCAAAAAATTACATTTTTATTAGAATTATTTTATTAATTGTAAATCAAATAAATTTATTTGATTCATAACTTTTCGTAAACTATAAAAGATTTGTTACATATTTTATATTCTTCACACTTTAATATAATAAAATACTGTGTAATGATATTCATATTACCTTCTGGCAATTTTTGCTGAACTTTAACAAAATCAGCCCCACACTATCAAATAAAGAGCAGAAAATAATTAAAATAATCATTTAATATTTTTTCACTATTTTATTTATAACTGAATTCAAATATAAAGTTTCTAACAAAAAAAATCACATATTGCTTTATCTTACTTTATAATTGAGTTTTCCTTTACTTCCATCATTGTAAAGCTTGATATCAAGAAAATTTTCTAGATATTTTTGTAATAATTTTATTTTTATAGAACCAATTCCATTTGCTCCATCTAATTTTACAGTTGGTAAATATTTTTTCTTGCTATCAACCTGAAAATAAATATTTTTTTTTAATAAAAATTTTATATATTACAAATAGTTGTAAAAAATTAGATTATTAAAAACAATTTATATGCTGTCAAGAACTTCCTGCAGAAATATGGGAGCTAAATAATCATGTCCTACAAATATGACTAGACACTAAAAGCCACCATGTATAGGAGCAGTATAATAATATAATGAAATGCAAATTAGTCCTACAAAAAATTAAATCAATCATAAATAAAATAATACTATCCATTTCAAAAGAACAGAATATGCATTTTTGCATTTAAAAATATTAAAGTAAGAATGCAAACAAATCAGGTAGAAACTGTTTTATTTCAAACCATACTAATTTCAATATAGTCAGTCATTCTTTGGTAGGACCTCTTTAAATTTAATTATAGCACATAGTCTTCAGAGCATGAATTCTATAAGATGATGACAGATGTCAGGAGTTACAAGGCTCCAAGCAAGATGTACAGTATATTGTCTGTAAAGTCATGAAAAGTTTGGAATTTCAGCTTATTCATTCATTCATTCATTCTGGGAATTTGGGATTATGATGCCTTTATTTCATCCATTATAGTCAATTTGATCAGGCAGATCTAGGTTTTTCAGGGCCTAGTGCTTATTGAAGTTCAATGAGGCCCCACTTTTTGTTAGATTAAGAATCTTTCAATTGGGGTTTAAAATTCATTTTTAATAACATCAAAATCAGAGTTGAAATATATTTATTTATGAAATGGTGTTGAATGACAAACTTTATATTGATAAGTGCTCATTGTTAATGAAAAAGTATTAAAAGTTTATGATAATAATTCAATTTTTGTGGGGCCCCCAAGTGTTGAGGGCCCCACAAAAATTGCCTGATTAGTTCCTATGTAGATCTGCCCCGAATCTGATCCATTTGTGTTGGGTATTTGCAGACCAGAGTAAAACTTGGATTTTTTTTGTCATTAAGCCAAGCAGTGGTTGATGCTGATTTATGTTCAGAATGAAATCACATTGAAAAATGAATTTGACATTTCCAAAAATGTTTTCTGATCAAGAGTGTTTTGAGGATTTCTTGGTAAATTTGACAATTCATGCTGGCATTGACTATACATAATTTCCTCTACCTTTTCAGCACTCATGCACCAACACACCATAATACTTTACAGATTGCTTGCAGCAGGTGGAATTTAGATTTCATGCTTCCTTTGCCATACATGAGAACCCTGTTAGTAAAGGAGATACAGAACTTTATTTCATCCAAAAACAATATTGGACCATTGTTCAAATGTTCAGTGTTCTAGTGTTCATTGTAGTCATCTTTTTGCTGTGCAGAATTGAGTTGTGGTTTAATGCCAGAATATAGGATAAGAATCTCAGTTCTAATCTACATTGTGGTACTAGTGGATACATTAGCTTTTGCTTTGTTCCATAGTTTGCATAGTTCTGAAATTGACTCAAACCTGTTTTGAATTGAAAATTTAGCCAATGCACAATTGTCCTTTTTTGTATTTTTCTCTTGTAGCCAGAATTTTTTCATTACTTCCCTCTGTTGTTTACATAATCAGTTTATATAAAAATTCCTCTGCTTCTTGTCTGTGTTAGTGAGATTTTTGCTGAGGTCTACTTTTGTGTTTCTTAGGCTCTATTCAGTATTTTTTCTTGCTTTTTTTTTTGTCATTTTAGTTAATATTTGTGTTACTGCTTAGATTTTGAGTCAGGTTTTTGTTCTCAATAGGCTAGATTTTCCATTTTCACATGTTTTTCATTTGTTAGGCTTAGCTAGCTCAGTTTCTGTTCTGGCTTTGCCAGGCAAAAACAGTTAGTTTCTTTGATTTAATCAATTTAAATTTACTCCTTTTCAACTTCCACTCGATCACCTTGTTTTTGGCTGGCTTTTATAAATTTTCAGTTTTTAGGTGTTTTTCAGTTAGTTAGTCTTGTCTTAGTTTAGGTCTAAGTTAGATAGTTCTCTTTTTGTAGTTAGGTCTTCAGATGTTTAGCTTCCTCTATGATTTTGGTTTTTCTCAGTCAACTAGTTTGAGTTTTTTGGATTTTTCTGGTTTTACTGCATTGTGGTATTTTTGGTTATTTAGGTTTTTCTGAGTTGTTCTTCAGCCTTTTCAGTTTAAGTTCAAAGTTAGGCCTTACTATACTAGGCCAGTTTCAACTGCCTAACCATTTTCATAGCTTTTTCGATGTCAGTTCGAAGTCAGATATTTTTGCTTTTTTGTGGTTTCTGTTTTTTGTAGTTAGTTTTCCCTTTGTAATTCTTTCCCTTAGTAAGTGCTTTGTTCCCCGTTAGTTTCGTCTTTCTAGGCCACCCCATTTTTCAGTTTTTCAGTTATACTTCTTTGCAGTATTTTCGTTTTCAGTCCACCTGTTCTCTTCCTTGATTTAAGCTATAAGTTATTAGCTTGAAGATAGTTTAAGTAGTTTAAGGATCTTTCTAGATGTCATGTCCATCTAATTCTGGAAACACTGGGGCTGGAAGCCCATGCTTGGACATCTTGTCAGTCTGTAAAAAGCTTAGGGAGCTTTTGGACATTATAAGATAGTATTATTTTATTCATGATTAATTTAAATTAATTTGTAAAGGGTTAATTTGCATTTCATTACATCATTATGCTCATCTATGTGATAGTTTTTAGTGCCTCTGGTCATACAAATTTTTTGTAATTCCTGTTATATCTGATAAGAATGATGATAAGAATGATTTTCTACCTTTTTTTTTAATGGAATTGTGTATTCTGTATTATATTTGGATATGTTAATAATATATAAACTTTAAAAAAGTATGTTATATCTTTTTCAGCACTAAATTCCTTTCATATACAACAGTGTCGGAATCAAAAATTGAAGTTATTGTTAAATATTATATGACATTAATAAGTACAAAACATTGTGTCATGGTAATGTTTGTAAACATTTTTCCTGTTAAGTAATAAAAGGTTGGTGGCATTGCTAACCTCTCAGGGAACTGACAGTAACCTTGTTTTACTCTCCCCTTTTTCAGTGCTGACCTTCTGTGAGTCAAGTCAGCATTATCTTTTGCATAATCTTTGTCCTTTGTCATGTAACTAGTTATGCAAGTCTAACCAGTTTTCCTAATCTCTGAAAAGCAACATCCAGTCTAACATAGAATCTACATAGAAAAAAAAATCTGAAGATATGTAGTATATCTATTTTCCAGTAAAATGGGTTTAAAAAACATAAAATAATATAAGGAAAAATTTTATTAGTCTTTTTAAAATTTCTTATAACAGCAAATAAAATGATTTTATTTTTAACTATGCAAGTTAATTAATCATCATTAATTAAACCACAAAAAATCAAAAAGATATGAAAATTTTCAAAAAGTATAATTTACACTATACTTATGTATATAAAAAATTTTTAGAATTGCAGTAATTAAAATACTAAAAATATGTCTAATATTAATTTTGTAATTCTTTAGATCAGTTATCAGATGAATTTACAGTAGAGTCCCGCTAGACCAAACACCGCAAATCCAAATGTTTTGGTCGGCGAAGAGGAAATTTTCTCTACAAGAGGTCCACTTAGGGTGTTTCTCTTTCCTGAGTGAACCACATGAATAAGGCTTCATTAAGCTTGTCAAATGTGGATGACCTTGCTGTTTGTCAATTTTCAACTGATTTTTCTGAAGTAGAGGCACAAAACTGCTCGATCTTTGCACGACTTTTTTCTAGTCGGTTATTGTGGCTTTGCCCACTCCAAACTCTACTACCAATTTCATTTCACTTTCACCCTTATCCAGAGTAGGGCACTGACATCATTGATAGTGTTGGATCTATATAAACCAGACCTGTTTTACTGCTTGCTTCTGCATTATTTCAATTATTCAGATAATTAAAAAATCTGCTAATTTGAACTGAGCTTGGTCCCAATTAGTTCAGACTAGCAAGACTCTACTGTATATTTATTTTTAAAATACTCACAGAACTATCTTTTCTTAATTGGATGAAAGCATTTGATAATTTTTTATAATAACCATCTTCTGTATCTTCTCCATATTTGTTTTTAGTATTATAGCAGCAAACCATATAATGTAATTGTGGTGTAGTTAAAAGGCCTATTTTAAATATATATCATCATCAAAAATAATCTGAAAATAAGTTATAGAAATTTACATTTTTAAACCATTATATATTTACCATAATCTCTCAATTTTCCATCCAAAATTTCTACACCCATTTTCACTGCTGCACAAAGATGCGGACTGCTAAATCTTTTACAACAAAATTTTTTAATATAGATTATTAAAATTTAATAAGACTTAAATGCCAATTAATTATAAGTTCATTCTTCTACATATGTTAAATTCTAAATTAAAATTGTTATTAAGTTCATATTTTTTATAATACCATAGTAATAACCTTTAATTATTAATTTATTTATCTATTAATTAAAATCAATAATTAAGTTTTTATAGATCATTGGCTTGTGAACAGTTGGCTTTGTTAACATTGGCTTGACTGTTTGTAACTCATAGCATGGGAATCCTTTGTACTGTATTTGTACTGACAGCTGTCCAAGAACTCTGATGCAGGATTTGCATGAGAGTTTTGCACAAAACTGTCTTGTCTCTTTCTGTTAGTTTTTTCTGGGATATCTTGGCAGCCCTTTTCATTTATATATGATTTCTCTAACTGTTAACTTTGGAATGTCTCATAATGATGGCTGTCAAAAGTGACTATGATATCTCATATAGAAAACTTGCAAATGTGGCATCATTCGTTGTTGAAAGCCTATAAATTTCACCGAGTGCAGCATTTTTCATGCTCCTCTTTACTAAGATTTGTTCAAAGCTTAACAAACATATTTATAGCCAATACAGTACAGTAGACCCTCCTATAACACGAGTTCCTATAGTTCGGATTCCTATATGACAACGAAAAAATTGTGACGGTATCCATACAAACATGGTAAAAAAACTCCTATAATTTGGTAAAACGTCATCGGGCAGCTGAACTACTTTCCGCCATCCAGCGCCATGCTATGGAGAGTTTAGGTGGGTAAATTGAGTTTACTATCATCTGTACAGTATTATATATAAATTATATATAAATTAGGTACTGTATATATAATTATATATTAATTATATATAAATTAGGTACTGTATATATAATTATATATTAACTTAATTTATTGTAACTTTATTATAATTATATATATACTTTCCGCCGTCCAGCGCCACGCTACGGAGAGTTTAGGCGAGTAAGTTGAGTTTACTATTCGTCTGTACAGTATGTAAATTAGGTACTGTAAGTCTAATACAGCACTAATTTTATACATTTCTTGTGAAAGAAACATTTCTTATTCAACGGCCATAAAAATTATTTATATTAATGATGTCTCCAAAGTTCAACGAAGTTTTCACAGAAAAATAACTTATCAGAAATTGCGGCCGCCGTTTGGTGCGCTGCTCCACGACGAAAACAAGCTTAAGCAATGGCGACGTCGAACGGTGCACACTCGGTAAGAAATCCTACAATTTTTTGTTTATAGCATAGTTTAAACGGATTATTCCCAAAAAATATACGTATTTTGGAAATGTTGAGTCGAATTAGTCTAGGAATCGATTAATTTTTTGGAAGAAAACCTTTCAAACAGCCATAGTCCGTAAACTTCACACATGTCGGGCTGTGATTGGCAAGGACTCGTACAAAATGGATTCATAAAGAACGGAACGTATCTACCGTGTTATAGGGGGGTCGACTGTAATTTATTGCTTACCTAAAAGCTATTTTATTAAATGATCTGACAGTGTCCAGATATTAATCACTCAGCAGTGAGCGACGAATATATTTGTCAAGGGCGATTGTGTGGCAGTGGTGAGGGATGAACATGTACGTAAAATTCTTTTGGGGATATCGCCAAAAACTAGCCTAAAACTACCACAAAAAAAATTCACATAAAATATGAATTATATAATAATAATAAAAGACTTTTGTTTACTAGACAGAACTGTTTACAAAATCTTTTTCCAAAATAGTAATGAGAAAAAAACGCGTGGAAAAATACTCTAAAAATTTCACACATTTATTCTCCCCTACTAAGGGGTAGCACCATACCTGACTATTCCACTGTTGAAAGGATAATAATGGGCAGTATATACTGAGTGGTTCATTTTAATCAACCCACTGGAATAATTTGGAAAATATGCATCCTGAAAAGTTTCGATAAATCAAACATGTTAGATTTCAACATGTTGCCTCAAGACAGCACTGTCAATTTCATCATAGATGACAATGGTAAAAATAGTCAATTTCACTTTCTTAAATGAAAATCCCATTATTTTATTGCATATTATGATCCTACATTTAAAAAAAAATCAAACTTTTATTCAAAACATTTTTTCTAAAAGATGCACTTATCAGAAGTTTGGACTTTTCGAAGAGCATTTGAACTTTTACACAGCCACATTGCATGCAGTCACAGCTGGACTGATTAAAACTAATTATACCATACATATCAAAATAAATATGACTATATACCAAAAATTTAAAATAATTTTTATAATATTAAAGAGAGAAATATATTATTATTTTTGATACCTACAGGTATACCTCGCCTTACGTCGGTAATTGGTTCCAGGAGAACGACGTAAGTCGAATTTACTTGTCTTCGAATCTACTTGTCACTAGGCTAAACCATAAATTACCATTTCTGGTTTTGTATTTTATTTATTAATGCATTTTTAATAATATATGATTAATAAAAATCTATTTTAAGCTTACAAACAAATAAATTTTAGTTTTTAATATAGTACAGAAAAAGTATTCTAAATTTACGAATGCATGTACTGTAAATACAGAACATACTAGTATATATTTTAATATGATTTTATGTGCTTTAAACGCTTTTCTAGTGATATTATGACTTCAATATTTGTGGCAGACAGACGTAAAGTCGAATAAAATGACTTAAACTTGATATTTATTTTTCCATATATTTTTTTGACAACGACGTATAATCGGGAACAACGTAACTCAAAACGACGTAAGTCGAGGTATGCCTGTATTTGTAAATCTATTTGACAATTTAAAATTTTCATATTTTATTAGTATAAGTTTAAATAAGTAATATGTTAATTCAATCCAATATAAAAACACAAGCCAAAACTGTGACTATTTCTAGCAGATTATCTATATTATTCAACCTGTAAAAAAATTTAATTAAAGCTCATTTTACACCTTTAAATCTTGTATAATAAAAAGAGTAAATTTTTACTGTTTATATTTTTGAATAGATATTTACCTTGTATCATGTGCAACAAATACTTGAGCTGGTTCTTTTATGTTAATATCAGCATCACATATAATTTTATTCAAAGAAGTAGCTATATCTTCATCTCTATATAAGAAATATTAATTATTTACTTTGTGAAATAGTATTTGTGTGTATATATAAACTTATATAATTTATATAACTTATATATAAACTTACAAACAAACAACGTGTTAGGTTAATTTATTAGAAATTAATATCTATTTAGAATCTCATTAATTGCTATATAAATTCAGAAATCCAAATTGTTCTACAAAACAGAAATCAGTTTCTGGGTGTGAGATAAAAGATCAGAACAAGGTAGAAACTGATATATTTGTCTTTTTTTCAAATGTTTTTGACAATACAAAAATGTCTTCTTCAGAATGGCTTCTAAATCAAAGTGTGTGCAAGAATGGAGATGTAAAAAAATTCAAATAAGTTTGAATATTTTACATTCAAAATTACATTTAAATTTTATTGAAACAGATTCTTAAAATGACAAAACATGCTGTGTCAATATTAAATTAAATTTTTAACATGAAGAGTTACATAAATTTCTGTTGAGAGAGATACATTAAAGCAGTGTTTTTCAACCTGTGGGTCAGGATCCCCAGGGGGGGTCGCAAAGCCATACACGGGGAGTTGCGGGTAAAATAAAAAGACGTGCTTGTGGCAGGTCCTGCCCTACAATAAAAAAACTAAAATTTCAGTAAGAAGGCTGTGCCTGTTTATTTTACAGTACAATTGGTTTTTTTTATCAATATTTAAATCTCAACAGAAAGAAAATTAAATACATAGTTTTTAAAATCACTGACAGTTTTAATATGGCCCTGGGGGTCACCAGAATTTTTTAACTTGTAAAGGGGTTGCTTATTCAAGAAGGTTGAAAAACACTGCATTAAAGTTAATTGAATATACTCTTATGAATATTATGCTTTAAAATAGAACACAAGAAACTAATAAATTACAAATGTTGTTAATAAAAGTTTCTAATTAGCAAATAGAATCATTTTATAAAAAAAATAATGCATAAACATACTCTACATTAGCTAAATAAGTAGCAAATAACTCCCAACTTGCTTCTAACATCTCACCAAATGGATCTATTATCTTGACACCATTATCTTCTTCTGGGTTATGAGAGGCAGTAATCATTACACCTATAGTTGCTATAAATAAATTCATATTAATTTATGTACTTCTTAACTGGCACATACTTTTTGCATTTTATTAATAATCAATAAAATGATATTTTTAAAATAAAAAAACCAACACAATTTCATTTTAAAAAGACAACTACAATTATTAAAATTCCAATTTATAAACAAAAGTTATAAAAATTGTGATTTATAAACTCTAAAAATTCAAAATGAGTGAAACTTTTATATAGAGTAATGTTACTAACTTATTTTATATATTACTACTAGTTTAGACATATTGAGAATTTAGAAGGAAAAATGCAATAAATATTTGGAAAAAAATATTTTATAAGGAACACATCTTAGAAGTTCTAAAATAATCAACAAAATTTCGTAAACAGTATGCAAAAATCTAAAATTATAAAATGGAGCACAATAATTAAATTACAGCTAATATGCACAATAGTTATAATAATAAAAGTGTGTATTATTGTAATTAGGATTTTAATATGAATAGTTTGTCTCAGATTAAAGTTAAATAACAAAAACAAATCAGATAAAAGATAACAGAAACAAATCATTTTATAATGTATTTTATCATTTTAAAAAGTCCTTTAGAACTTTTTGTTTTATAGTGGTCCCTATCTACTTTGCCATGATTTATAATAGTAGTATAGGATTTTTGCCATTAATGGATTGAGTATATTAATGGCAAAGCTTTTATGAATTACAAGAAAAATAGTGCATTCACTTACATTTATGCCTTGGATAATGTGGAACCTTTGTTAATCAGAGCTCAGATAATCAAGATTCTACTATCTTTGAATATATTATAATCAATTTCCTACTATTCTGTTCTACTCTTGTGTAAGAGCTGCAAGCAATTTGTGTGATAATTATTATTTCAAACATCTTTTCTTCTTTAAAAAATGTTAATTTTGGAGGAAGTTATACAGTATAAGGAAGCTCATCAATAAAACCGAACTGAAGAATGACATGAGAAACAGATTTAATATCATGAATATATTTTTCTTGATAAAGATGAAAGTAATACAATTTTTACATTACACTATTTTCACCTTTTTCACGTATTTTCAGGTAAAAGAAATACCAGAAATTTAAAAATCAAAAATTTTCACTTGATTCACATTAGTGGCAGTTGCATCACTATAAATTTCACATTATCATATTAAATTTACAGTAATTCTGTGTTATATTTCATTATTATTAGTGACTTGGAATTAAAACTTATAATACTAAATATAAAGTTACAAAATTGTAAAACAAAACAAAATTACAGAATATTTCATATCTATTAGAATTTTTTATTTTTAAAGTATCACATTAACACATTCAATCTGTAGAACAGGAGTCGCCAAAGTGATCTATATCAACTCCCAGGGGTCAATATAACATTATTGGGGTTGATGAAAAGACTAAAACTTACAAATTTTGATCTGAATATTGCTAATCTTGCTAAGGATTATCAAGCTTATCTGTCTCATTGATTGTCAATTACAAAAATTATTATTAACATATGTACAATAAATGTAAAAAAATGTAAAATTAAAAGATATATATTAAAATAGTAAGAGGTTTTTTTTTGCTTGTAACAGAAACTTTTTAGCGAAGGTCGATGTGAGGTTTCAAGAAGTTGTAGGGGGTCAACAATCAAAAAAATTTGGCAATCCCTGCTGTAGAATAAATTTAAATAGTTAAGGAAATATTGTATATCTGCTGCTATGTTGTTAAACTTTTACTAATTATAAAGTTGTAACAATGCATTAATAAATGTGCCATATTTCTGAATTATAAATCAGAAAATTTTAAAAATGGGTTTCTATTTATAAAATTTGAATTTACACTTCAAGAAATTTAAAATTAAACATTGTTTTTAAGGAAAAACAAACTTCTTATTCTGGCTAGAATACTAGATTAAGTTGTTTGAACCCTGAAATATAAAGTGCAAATCTGGAAGTATGTCTTTTTGAGCATTAGCTAAGCTAACTAGTGAAAACTAGAAATGACCAGACATTTGGCCAGATTTTGGGCTTTGAACTTAACATATTTTTTCCTGCAACAAACAAATAACTTCTGTATTTTGGGATATTACATATTCTCACTAAATAGATTAAATGTAAACAAAAAATTAATTTTAATTGTTAAAATTTTTTCAAAGCCTTAAAGAACTATAAAACAGTTAAATCTTTTGTTGACAGTTGTGAATTTTGTAAATTGTAGTGAATTTCAAATTAATAATCAAAACTGCAAATAACTTAGCTCACCTTTCTTTGCTTTAGATCTCAACACTGCAAGAAGTCCCATACGAAATACAATAGGAGGAAGTTCAGAATGTCTAAAATTTACTCAATAATGTTAGTTTTAATTTTTTTATTCATTTTATGTATGTAAAATTATTCAGATTATATATAAATTAGAGAAAATCAATTAAACAGTTGATGATATATCTATCTGCTTTCTTGATCATCAAGATAAAAATTTTAGTAAACCCTAGTACTTTTTAACTTTTCAGTTCATTCACACTAGTGACAGAAAATATGACTCCATTATTATATTGGTACTCTAAGAATGAACAGAAAATCCAAATGCCCTATGGTTTAACTGAATATTTTTCTTTATCTTGCTTTCCAAGAAAGCAGATATATGTTTTTGGGTAAATTGAAGAAATAAGTTTGATTGATATAGTTTGCAATAAATAAAATTAAATTTAACCCAAATAAACATATTTTTAAACTATAAAATGTACTATTTTAAAACTGTTAAATTTGTTTTTTGAATTATACTTTTTAAAATTAACATTTTTAATAATAAAGACCTTTTTATTATTAAAATTGGATTATATGGATGAGAATGTTGTTTCATGTATTAATGAATGAAAACAGTACAACTGCTATAAATATATTAATTAAATGGTAATATAAAAATGTAGAAAATTATTTCTGACCTTATAAAATGAAAGAATTTTATAACAGAATATTGAATTCACAGCAATCCATGTTTCAGGAAAAATAATAATCTTGTGATAAACTATATCATTACAAATAATAAGGTTTCTATTAAATTTAAGCAAAAAATTTAATCAGTGAAAGTGATTAATAAAGATAACAAAATGGATTATAAATAATTTATATACTAAGCTAGGTGTATACAAATTATTTTTGAATCATTAAACTATGTTAAACCATAATAAATTTAGCACAGTTTAAATGTTTAATATATTATAAAATTTTAAGTAAAAGTAACTTTTGTTTATATAAATATGTAAAAGTAACTTCTACCAAATTTTGCTTTATAATACAATATAAACATAATTGTTTATGTTATATTCAGAATGCAGATGAATTTTAAGCATTAATTTTAAAATACACAAATGCATTATTTAATAGAAATATACATACATTGATCTAAATCCAGCCGTTCCATATTGTACATTTCTCTTACTTAATTTTGGATATTTTTCGACAGCCAAATTATAAATTCTTTCGAACATTTTTAACTAGCGATTATCTAAATGAAGAAACGTATAAGAACTTTGATAAATATCAAATAATCTAGCAACTGCTTAAACACATGAAATGAGTTGATAAACTAAATTGTTTGGAATCCAAGAAACCGGTTTTTAAAAGAAAACTTGACATAAGTTACATAAATATATACTTTTAAAACTTATTTTAATATATGTCACAGGCAAAAAGTTATAATTACATTGCCGATTATTATCAAATTACGCAATGTTATTTACAATATAGTAAATTAAGTGTCACGTGTATAATTTAATAATATATGTTCATTTTGTAAATAGTAACACGATTTATATTCATCTCCACGTGTACTTTTAAAACTACTGCTAACAAGCGTTGCCAGATCAGTATTGCCAGATCTGGCAACACTGTTAAAAGGTAGCGTGGTTGTGCTCCAAAAGCAGAGTCGGTAGATTAACTACCGACTCTGCCAAAAGTAGCGGATTTGAACTGTTCGTAGCCCAAACAATAAAAATGAATTATTTTACAACTATGCACTTTTTCTAATGAAATAAGTTTGTAATATATATATTCGGTGTATCTGCATTAATTTTCTCTAAATCAAAGCGAGTCATTCGCAGGCGAGGCGATTCATTTTTTGAATTTAGAGACTTAGCGACTACAGTTTTTGTTTTCAGTTTTAAGCCCCCCTGTTTCCATTGTATCAAGAACTGTTGTGTCAAAATTTAATAACTTTTGGATCACTTATTGGGAAAGAAAATTTGCAATTCCAACAGGATAATGCTGCCATTCGTGCATCAAAGTCAATTAAAAATTGGTAGTAACGGTACGAACTCAACAAATATCTAGTGTTGCAAGATCTAAAGTTACTAAAACGTAACAAGTTCGATACCCGTTTAATACTTATTTTAGTACTAAAAAGTACTAAAGAATTAAACGAGTATCGAACATGTTACGTTTCAGCAAAACTATCGTTCATTGCAAATAGAAATACTGTATTGAACAAACAAAACTTTAAGTAAAATAAAAAATATTAAAACGTGGCCGACGGTAATACATTTAATTTCATTACACTTAATTGTATAAATAAAGTTGCAACGTTTAACAAAGATAAAGATATTTTGCTTCCGTTTTCCATCCGTCGTTCGCTCCAGTAGACAATCCACAATTTCATAAGCAAGGTCGCCTCCGTACTTACAAATTATTATCTAAATTTAACATAACTAAAAACAAAAGTAAAAATTACTGAAAAGATATGGGAATGTAATATTTAAAGTATGCTCATGTATTTTTTGTATAATTCGTGTATATTCATAATGCCCGTATTAATCATTTTGTCCATAACATATACATTAAATGATTAAGACTTCTTGATGGAGCCAAATTTTCATCCTTGGTAGAAAGGCATCTTAAACTTTCATCCGAAATGATGAAAGTTTAAGATGCCTTTCTATCAAAAAAATAATAAATTTGTCAATTAAAAGACTTTTCTCTCAACTAAGACTTAATAAATATTCTTTAACTATTGGTTCATCGTATACTCAAGATGTACAAATTTGTGTATCTAACAATTTTTCCTTGTTCCCATTTTGAGAATACTGTGTACTAGATAATAAGAAAACATAATATAGATACAGTATGTTATTTAAAGAATTTAATAAAACTAATTTTTATATTTGTTTTAAAATAATATTTATTTAATTTACAAATTGTGTGACTTTTTCGTTGATGTAAATAAATATATATGAAATGTCTTATAACATCCTTAAATACCTTCACTTATGAAAATTTATTATTTCAATATTTAAAGTATGCCAAATAACAATTACATTTCAATGGCACATTTATCAAAAGAAAATACATTGTGTTATACTTAATTTTAGCGAGGTTGCGGCCGAAGTTTACAACGCAAAAACGTCTTCGTCGGACGTTCAGCATCGCCTTCCCGTAAGCCTAGAAATTTGGCAATGGCGTTTGAAACGTCGAGCATGATTCCACTGACGTTCTAAACGCCATTGTCAAACTTCTAGGCTTACAGGTAAGCGGCGCTGAACGTCTGACGTACACGTTTTCGCGTTGAAAACTTCGGCCGCAACCTCGCTATTAGGGCCAACTTTAATATTAATAATTGGAAACTGTAATTTTGAATAAATTCTTTAATACCGATATTATTACTATAATCATTTTTGTCTTTTTTCTTCCTACTAAGAGGTCTTTCTTTCTAGGCTCATCACGGATTCAACCAGGCCCATTCAAAATTTGCAAAAATCCGATGTTTTTATCTAATATACTGTACTGTACACATATACTGTATATCTTTTGAAAATCATCTTTTATGCAGATTTATGCGAATGGATTCCATTATTTTAGAGTTTGCACAAAACGTATTTTACATTATAAAAACGTTCGTTATAACTTTATGTGTAACGTACCAGTAAAAGCATAATACAGGTTTAACGTTAGAAGTTTATTTATAAAAATTCCGAAACCAATTATATTTGATTCTTTATCGACGTCAACGTATCGTCATCGTTACGCACGCTCACATAAAAACGTGCTTGGTTTTTGTCGGCGATATTGGTTTTGATCTGAAAAAGAGACGAAGTATATAATATTTCCTGCCCTTTCATTGCTTTTGTTAATGCGATGCATAATCTTCGATATTTCCAAGAGAAAACAGAGATGGGAACTTCAATGGTGTCCATGTGTTTTAAAAGTTTTTAAATTGGTGTTTGTTTTTAAATAAAAGCATTTAAATTATGATATTAGTTATTTTTTGCTTCTTTTTTACAAAATAAAATTTATTTGGAATTGTTTAATCTTAAACTTCAAGCAGATAGTATTCTGATATTGACAACTCACTGAAAAGTTTTAAAAGTAATTTCAAGCTTGTTTTTAACAAAATTATTTACATATTAATTCATTACTTTTATGATATAATTTTCATGTTGAAGTATTTTAAATTGATAAATTTTCGATAGAATTAAGCACTTGCAAAGTATTCTTATTCGCTTGATACAAGTCTGCAGGGCCGGATGGCCGAGTTAGTTAAGATGCCAACCTACCTCTCTGGAGAATCTGTGAACGAATCTGGTCGGATAATAAACCCCAGGAAATTTTCCGGAATGGTTTATCCTGGACGTGTCAGATCCAATCCTTTACCATCTATCTTCATCCTTTGCCCCATTGTGAGTATGGGCCAGAAAAAAAGGTTCTCATAGGACGGAAAAAGTCGAGAAGAATCTGTATCATCAGCTGGTATAAATTAATTTGCGAATTGATTAATCAATATTAAAATTTTTATTTGAGATAACGAATGTAATTATAGATGTTTCTGTATATATTACTTGAAATAGGAAACGAAATCAATGTTTTTTAAATAAAATTTTTTTAAACAAATTTTCCTTTCTTTCAATGATAGTAAAACAGTAAATGTGAAAATGATTCATTTAAAGCTTGTAAAAGTGTATAAACCTGTATCATAAAGGCAAAAATACATATGAAATTTTATCTTTTTTACTTTATTCTTATCCTTCTTATTTCACTTTACTTTTGTTTTAAAATATTTTATTTTATAATTTTTTAAATAAAATTACTAAATTTTGATACAACCAATACGGGACACACAGTACCATCTTCCTGTTTCCTCTTCCGCGCCCATTCCTTCTTACTGGACCGTTGCGTATATGGTAGATAAAAATAGGAAGGATGCAATTTAATAGTAAACGGTAAATTCCATACAGATTTTGGAATTTACTGTTTTTAGTACTATTATTTGTGTTCGCCGACAATTGCCTGTCCGATTACTTAGCAAGGTGTGCGTCGTCAACCATGATGCCAAAAATTTTATATACGGCCTATTCTATAACAATAACAACTAATGAAAGGTAATAATTCTTTAATTATAGATATGCGCGCTCGGAAAAAGAATCGTAATTCTAATCAGAAAATTCATTGCATTCTTCGAAATATGCGACATTTTTCCGGAAAATCCGAGAATACGGGACATTCCACGTCCCTGTTGGAACAGGGAATGAAAATACGGAACAGTCCCGTACAATACGAGACGTCTGGTCACTTCAAAAGAATTCTTGCTACTCTTAAATTTTAATAATTAATTTTATTAGAACAGATTTCAATAAGGTTATATAATAACATAATTAAAATCGTGTATAAATAATTGTATAATTTATTTATTGACATTTGTCTTTTTAATGTTTACATAAATTTAAAATTGTATTAATTAATTGATTAATTTTTCAGTTTCGGAAAAAGTTTTTTCCAAATATTTTTATTCTTTATGAAAATATCTTCTGTTCTCTCCGTGCAAAGACTGTCTTCAAAACATAGATCTAAATAATGATTTAATAAATTCATTAATAGAACTTTATTCGTACAGTATGTTATTAATTATTATCATTAGAATTTTATTAAATTAGTATATTTTAATTTTGTTTGTATTATTGTAAATAAATATAATAAATAAAAACGTTTACCTTTAACACAGCATATACCATTAGTGGTACAAATGCCATGTAATCTACAAATTCGACCATTTTTTCTGCAGTGATGATAATCAAAAGATTGTTGACAAATTGGTATTCCTTCTTCATTAATTATGCAACCAACTGTAGAGCCACAGCATAAACCTCGAATAGAACACTTACTTTTTTCATCGAATTCGCAAGAAGGACACTATCAAATATTAAATAAATTAATTTTATAAGTTTATTAACAGGCCGAGACAAAAAGTTTACATTCGGTATGTATTTTTTAATATATATAACTATTATCATTGTAAATTTTTAAAATAATTTATAAAAATTAATAAAAGAACTAATCTTACGTTTATTGTATGTAAACTCCTTTTTCCTCCAGGCGGACAATTTGTAATAAAACAAGCACTAGTCAAAACGATAAGCATTGAAAAGAACAAAGGAGAATGCATAACTACAGGGGAATCAATTCTGCAAAGACATTAATAAATTTCGTATTTAATTAAAAAATTATAATTGAATTTTTATATTAATGATTGCAGATCGTTTCGCGAATCTCGGCCGTGCTGTAAAAAATGCGCAATAGCAGGGACCAGTCTATTTACTTAGTGAAGGGAACGTATTGTTTGACAAACTGTGACAAGGTCACTTTGTGTAACGAAGAAAGAGACTCTTGAACTTTTATAAAACTTCTAGACCCCCAACCGAGTACCGCGCATTGCCTGGCCAAGATATATGAGACGATCTGTAACATTATTTTATTTTTAATAAACTATGTATTAATGTTTTATTTGTTTCAAGAAACTGTTTGTTTTCATTGATTTCCTAAGTTTTTGACTTGGTGATAAATCAAATCGCATACTTCCTTCCAGGATGTGTGCAACTTCATACTGTTACCACTTAATTTCTTAAAGATAACTGAGCGTTCAAAAATAAAATAAAATAAAACAATTATTTTATCGCCGGGCTAAATTATATTGCCGGGCTGCAATTTTTAATAATGTTTGTAATTTATTTAATTTAAAATATACGCTCTCCACCTCAAGTTAGTAGTGGCTTGCCCCTGTACATCATGCTTTTCCTTTAACAATAAAGTCGTGCCGGTCATTCATCTAAAACGTTTCAGGCAAACATTTTTGAATTGAAATAAAATGACTTTCGATTTGCATCGCAAATTACTATATAGTTAATCGGGGCCCCCTGCCCCTAAAGTTTCCATACCTGATCTCGTCTTACATCTATTTAATTCTCGAGATTAAGGAAAGACAGACAGACGGACGACAGTGGGAATTTTTAGATCTACAAATTTAAAAAAACAATATAGGGAAGACCGGGGCAACTTCGGCATGCGGGGCAAGTTTGTCAAGCGCTTTTTTTAAAAAACAAATTAAAAGGAGACTTTGGTTATAGGTTAGGCAGTTGAGCTTTATTGGTGGCTTGTTGAGTGTAGTGTTTTTATTGTTCTCCAACAAGCGTAGTTGAATTATCAAGCAAATTTTCATTTTCGTTCAATTCCATATAATATTTTTTTTCCATTTATATTGAATTGGCAGGTTTTGTTATAATTCCATGATAACGAAAGTTACTTTTCCTGTTAGAAGGATGTAACTTCAACTTATTCACGTGGCCAGATCGTGGCTTGGCATTCTGTTCTCAGGGTTGTACTTAATGTTTCGAAATCATGACTAGCGGGGTAAGATCGGCAACATAAAGCCACATTAGAAGCAAAGGATAAAAATCAAACAGATGATAAATGAAAACATGTTTGCATTTGTTATTCATGTATATATGTCTTTGAACTTGCATTTCGTTGTAATAATATTAAATGGGTGTTGGATTTGTATTTCTTTGTTTTAATAGTGAATTCCAACTTATACATTGTTAATAACATAATTTTATATACGTGCCTATCTTGCCCCATTACTGTTGCCCCTATACCAGGGGCAACTTTAATAAAAATAATTAAAATAATTACAACTTTACAAAAAGAGAGAAGTTGCCGATCTTGCCCCTATACCCGGGGCAACTTCGTCAATTTCTCTCTTCTTGTAAAGTTGTAATTATTTTAATTATTTTTATTTCCAAACTGATTTTAACCAGTTCTATAGTAAGGTAACATTCCAATAGACAATATGCAAAGCTTTTTTTTCAGTTTACAGCAGTATTTATTACACAAAATTTAAGTAAAGCTTAACATGCCGATCTTGCCCCGGTCTCCCTAAATAGTAGAGGTGGGAAATCTAGTTCGTTTCTGAAACTGGAACTATTAGAACTGTTCCTCGGAATCGTTATGTTCTGTTGAAACTGCTTAGTCTGTTGGACTACATGGTTCCTCCTCGGTTATATATATATATATGTACTGTATAATAGAAATTTTGTGTCTGTTCTAAACTTTTTGATCCATCTGCTCCAAATTTTTCATTTATTATCTGAGGGAAGTATAGACATGAAATCTGGACACCTCACCTTTCTCCGATGTCATTCCTTTATTAACTCTTAAATCTCTTCCCAAATACGCACCAAATTTTTCATAATTATTCTCTAGGACCCAGGAGAAAATATACACTTTTATGAAATCCGGATACCCCATTCTTTCCCTGATTTGATCTCCTTGACCCTTCCCTTCCTTGACGGGCGATAAAGATAACAATGATAGGCTAAAATATCTAAACTTTTAATATGGTTTTCATTTGAAGGTTTAGCCTTCTTACTTTTTGACCGTAAAATGCCGGACATATCTGCCATTTACTAATAAAACGAATAATTATGAATTAGAATAAATATAGGAATTTTTCAAATATATTTGTAAATTTAAAATACTCAAAACTAATTTCATTATTCCTAAAATTTCATTATTTCAAATCCAGACAAAGAATTCTCTGTTCCGTGAAAGCCACGTATTCATAAGAGTACAAAATGAAGAACGCGTAAGTAGTTCCGACTGGAACTGTCTCGACACTCGATGTGGAACGATTCCTAGTAGTTCCAGTTCGGGCGATTCCGGCCTGGATCTATCCATTTCTAATAAATTGGTAGTCTCCATTTGGTATCTTCACTTTCCAACGACGTTCTGTGCCATTTCATTATATGGCAAGTAGCCTATATTTATATATCGTTTTGGCTCCAACATTTGTCGACGTTTTTTCTTAGTTTTTTTTTTTTAATCTTGAATTAATAAGAGGTTTCATTAAGTCCGACATTAGTTAGACTAAAACAATCTAACTTGTAGTACTTGTGGTAAAACAGTATAACTCGAAGTATCAAAAAAGTACGAAAGAGATTATTAAACATAAGTTTGGAACTTGTTTCCGAACTGACGTCGGTTTATATATATATATATATATATTTGTCTTAACACATTATCTCTGTAGAAAACGGCGCAAAGAGAAAGTCGAGTGACACCACACAGTTTTCTACAGAGATAATGTGTTAAGACAAATATGTAATGTAATGAATAAATAACAATTTGCCATTTGAGTCTGTTTCAAACGTCTCTAACAGGAATGTCAAATGAAAAATTTTAAATTAACTAATCAATATATTGCAATTAATACTTCAAACGAAACACTATAAAATAATTTTATAGTTTCTTGGTATAAAGCCGATATGATTTCGGGAATTAAGAAATATTTTTATTGAAATAAACTTTCCTGCTTTCTAGTAAGGAAGTTCATTTTAATTGACTTTTAGAATTGACTTTAATTGACTTTTCTACATATCTAAAATATCAGAAGTTATTAACCCATATAAAATTCGATTCTTTTAAGTTATTTATGGAACTTTCGTGTTTCGTTATTTCAGAAATATACTTTTTCTAAAACGTCTATAGTATCTTCGTTTTTTATAAAAAGTTTGTCCGTAGATAAGATTAAACTATAAATTATTTTCTCTACAAGCTAAAAAAATTAGAGNTGTCGACGTTTTTTCTTAGTTTTTTTTTTTTAATCTTGAATTAATAAGAGGTTTCATTAAGTCCGACATTAGTTAGACTAAAACAATCTAACTTGTAGTACTTGTGGTAAAACAGTATAACTCGAAGTATCAAAAAAGTACGAAAGAGATTATTAAACATAAGTTTGGAACTTGTTTCCGAACTGACGTCGGTTTATATATATATATATATATATTTGTCTTAACACATTATCTCTGTAGAAAACGGCGCAAAGAGAAAGTCGAGTGACACCACACAGTTTTCTACAGAGATAATGTGTTAAGACAAATATGTAATGTAATGAATAAATAACAATTTGCCATTTGAGTCTGTTTCAAACGTCTCTAACAGGAATGTCAAATGAAAAATTTTAAATTAACTAATCAATATATTGCAATTAATACTTCAAACGAAACACTATAAAATAATTTTATAGTTTCTTGGTATAAAGCCGATATGATTTCGGGAATTAAGAAATATTTTTATTGAAATAAACTTTCCTGCTTTCTAGTAAGGAAGTTCATTTTAATTGACTTTTAGAATTGACTTTAATTGACTTTTCTACATATCTAAAATATCAGAAGTTATTAACCCATATAAAATTCGATTCTTTTAAGTTATTTATGGAACTTTCGTGTTTCGTTATTTCAGAAATATACTTTTTCTAAAACGTCTATAGTATCTTCGTTTTTTATAAAAAGTTTGTCCGTAGATAAGATTAAACTATAAATTATTTTCTCTACAAGCTAAAAAAATTAGAGTAAAAATAATTAATAGTGAAAAAGTATATCTTTATAAACTAATATTCGATTTTAAATCAGTTGACTTCTCCTTATTTCTATACAATATTAGGCTGAATTTCTTAAAATCATACACTCACACAAATTTAAAATATAAGAATAAATTAGATTTAATTTATATGAAACAGAACTTTTAAATAAAAATAATTACTACACAAATGATTTAAAAACAAATTTTAACAAATATTTCTTAAGAACGTAAGATATATATTTTATTACAAGTATAAAAGAATAAACTAAATATTTTATATAATTAATAATTTTTGTTCTGTAAAAACAAAAAATGATTATCTTAATTACATTATTTAAATAAACTTTGACAATAATTATTTATATTTGTTAATTATAGATTGAATATTTTAAAACTTACTTCTTACGGAAATAAATAAAGAATTTTAATCAGTCAGTAAACAGATTTTATTCTGCAAATAGGGAAGTAACTAAAATATTGACGTTATAATCTTCTCAGAAATTTTTCTGGGCAGATTCTAAAAAGATTCGCAGAAATTGAGATTTTCGTTATTCTTATACAGATTTGCATAACATTCTTCTATGAATTAAAGCTAATTTAATTCTAAATTATCATCTGTAAATTTTACTTTTAAAGTCATAATTTTAAGAACCACTAGTAAATTGTGATTTTAATTTAATAATCCTCTACAAGTTTTTTATAGAGTTTATTATTGTAATGATTTTTATTTATATACAAATCTAACTTTTTGCGTTATTGTTCAATAGCAAATTTCAAAAGTATATTTAAAACTTTAAAATTTTAAAATTGTATGTCATTAGAGTTTTTTTTAAACCCTGAAGATAAAATACTTTGATTTTTCGATTGTTCCATAGACATGAAATTTGATTAAAATACAACAAAAATAAAGAACATACACTGTGTGATATATTTTTAGTTGAATATGATATTAAAAACTCACAAGAATCTATTGAAAAAAAAGCATACAGACAAATGCACATACTTGTATATTGTATATTCCAATTAATTTACAGTAGAGCCTCGATTATCCGACCCCCGATTAACCGACACCTCGGTTAACCGACCGTCCTAGTCGGCAAATTTCAAATGTCCGCTAGTGATGTGGCGCTACAATATTTGGCTATGTCTTGGCTACTTTAATATTATTTTTACGTGTTTTAGCTGGCAACACTCATTCGACCATGAAAGGGAGCCAGTATTTAAACGAGGCTTAATTTTCTAATTTTTAACGATACAATAGCGACGATTATTATTTTAAAAAATTTTTGTTAGGCTTAACATCGATGAAAATTCAACGCGAAGTAGGTTAATAGCGATATACTAATATACTAATTACATGGGATATAATAATATACTACACTAATAATGGATTTTTTCATACTTTTCGGTTATCCGACTTTTCAATTATCCGACCAATCCCAGTCCCCAATTGGGTCGAATAATCGAGGCTCTACTGTACTCTGATTCGGAACTGACTAAAAGCAATGTATAAATTTAAAGTGTGATTAAAACTGATATAATTACATCGCCTTTTACTTTCAAATTCGAGATAATCTTGGTCATAGAATATACATTAACACGAGAAACATTGAAGTGCTAGAGGAAATCTAATTTACCGTTTCTCAAAATCCTGTATGATTTTACATAACGCAATTTTAGAAAAATGTCTGTTTTGTATTACATGTAATTTCACTGATAGATTCAATACAGGCTCTGGAATTATATTTCATGTGTTGCTCACTATAAACACACATATCGATGTTAATTAAATGTTGGTAATCTTTTTTTTTGTAGAATATCATTTTATTGAAAAACTGTGATTTTTAACTTAAAACACTTATTTGTTTATTTGTATTCAGCTGAAAATCTAATTATAACTCATTAGTTTTGTTTCTGAAGTATTGAAAAGTATTAGGCATTCAAGCCTTATGAAGAAATCAGCGAAAATCAAATAAACTAACAAAAATATTACCTGAATGTGAAAAATAACGAAGGGATTATTAAATCGAGCTTATAAAGTGTCTCACCTAGAACATTTCTTTGAATTACGTTTAACTCATAAATGTAAAACGTAAACACAAACGTTCACTTCTTATCCGGCTACCTTTAAAAATACAAGAGTGAAGAGACCCTCAATTTTCTTCTTGAACCCGTACCGCAAATACGTTTGCATGACCTTCATTTTGTAATTTTTATAGTGTAAAACCCTTGTTTTATTTTTGTCAAAATTAACTCTATTAGCGACTCTTTACATCGGTGGGTCCTCAGCTGACAATTTTTGTATTTGTGTTTAAGACGGCCTGCGTGAAAGCGATATTTAATGGTTATTATTAAAATATTAAAGAAAAATTAACTAAATTAGCTTTTTTCGAGAAAGTATTGTAAAAATATTATGACGCAATGTTATAATTAAATTTGTAACAGACTAAATTTGTAACAATTAAATATGCTAGTTTTTCACATAATAATATTAAATCTTAACTTAATTATTTTAAGAATTACAAAATAGTTTTATTTAATATTAAAGAAATACAACATGAAATTCTAGTATAAATATGAGAAAAATTTTTAAATGATAAAAACTAGAAATTGTTTTACATATTGAATTTTTGGGAGATTAATAAAATAACTTTAAATCTCTTTATGTATTCCTTACATCTTACCTTCATTTTATTAGAAAATTGTCATTCTCAATATATTACAATTTTTATATGAATTTAATAAATGTCCACGGTCAATTTACTGAAAATGGTCAATTCAATATGCTTCAAACATGGCTACTGTTTAATCACTATATTATTATTCCGTTGTTTCAAACTGAATCTTTTGTCATCCTAAGTGCCATTTTTGAGAGAAAATGTCTTTTGAACTCTTTTGAAATGTTTAAAACAGTAGACTCTTTTGTATTAACATCAGAAAGATTATCGCTACACAATAGAAAATTTGAATCGTAATATATAGGCTATTAAAAGTTACATCAAAATATATTGTAAAAAGTAACTTTCTCAAAAAATGTATTTTGCCTTCATACTGAGAGCAATAAAATATAATATATAATAAAGGCAAGAATTAATAGCCATAAATTATTTGTAAAGTATATGAATCGTGACGATTCTGCTTAAGGCAAGAAACTTAGGACATTTAAAAATCTATTAATATAGTCAAATGCTTAAAATAAATGTAAAATAATTACATTGCGCTCTATTTATTTACATACTTTATAAGAATTATAATAAATATCCATTAAATTATATTTTACTTAATGTGTAAAATCTATATTTAAGCTTAATTTAATAAACATATAGACTATGTATTATATTTCGAATCGAAGTATGTTGTCGTCATCCTTCCTTTCTACCTTTTAATAATCTTTAATTTTGTCAATGTACTTGAAAAATAAATTCAATTTAGACAAACTGTTTAATTAAAAAATAATTAATACAATTTTCAATATTGCTATTTAATAGCCTATGATAAATTGAAATAAATGTTTGATTAGAACAAATGTTTTACTTACCGATTATCCTGAAACAAAATGAAGTTAGACCCTTGACAATAGCATTTTATATATGTTTTGAACATAAATAAATAGTAGGCGTTCCCTTATTTATCTGCTATTTGAGTAATAAAGAAATCAAACGTCAAATGTTCATCGTTCATTTTTTGTACCATCTGGTTTTGACATCTCACAAGAATTTTATATTGAATACGAGAGAGGCGAGAGTTTCTCATTTATTATCGCTGTTGGAGTCTTTTACTCAAAATAAGAATAACACAGTCGAATTTGAAAATTTTAAAAATAGATTTTTTTTTTATGAATTTTAACTATGGGCTAGTATAGTCAATGTTAGAATTCAGCTTAATGTAAATACAGTACTGAACTACATTATAATGGATTTTTTCCCCTCTTAAACCGTCTTGTATCCATTGATTTAACATTTCCAATTTTTTTTTAACTAACTGTTTCAGTAACAAGCTTATTAAAACTGTAAGGAAATAAAATGTTTACATTATTCTTATTAACAAATGAAATTTTATTCTTATTAAATTTATCTTCGAATACCATATGAAATATTTCTCTATCCGCAAGTAATCTATAAATGTATTTACCTTTTATGAAGGATTTCCTTTAATATGGAAAGATCGTTCATCATGTACGATATATCTAAATATAAATAATATAGCAATGAGATTAATCAGTTTATTTATTTATAAAAATTCAATAATCTTTCTAGAAATATTAATCAAAATATGCTATTTTGTTATCCTTCATAACTGAATGATTGTTTTGAAATTGTATAAATAAACAGTTAAAAAATTTGAATTACAAAAAATTTTATTGCTCATAGTTTAAAGATAGATTAATTCATAAATAAAGGTTTAAGAAACAGATTTTTAAAAGATATTCGAAAGAAAGCAATTGTTTTAATATAGATCCTTTAAATTTTCAGCTAGTAAACTTATCTCCAAATATTTTGCAATCAGTTCAAGAATCTATATGTCTGTAAAATTGTGTTGTGTATAAAATAAAAGTATGTGTAAAATTCTCTTATTCCGATTGAATTTATATTTTCAATAAAGAAGAATCAAATAAAAATTAAGAAAAACAGATAGGAACATTAGGAATGTCATATTTATTTACAGATAAGTAATGGAATTGATTATTTCGAATACTATAGAATCACGCAAGCGGAAAATATATATCTTTTGAATAATCATACTCTTTCTGATGATTTCAGGATTGAATTTTGCAAGGTTTTTGTATATTTCTATTTTCTAAAAAATGAAACTAATAGAATATTTGATTCCCAGATAGAAAACAAAATATGGAAATACAATAAAGTAATTTATTACGATTAGCTGAACACAGAACCTCTACTGAGCTGAAATTATACTGCTGCATTTATCATTACCTGAACGGAACTCAAAAAATTTAATAATTAAACGTTAATAATGTTTCTAATTTTGGTTTCTAATTTAAGTTAATTTAAACCAACTAACAAATAAAATAAATATAATTATTTCTATATCTCGATATTCAATATAATATACAAAAGACTATCTCATGTTTTATGAATTAAAACTTTTTTGATGAATATTAGTAACAAAAATCGGAGTACAAAATGATAGTCGTTTCTCATTTTTTCCTTCGTACCAAAATAAAATAATAAATCTTTGTTCTTTTTGATTTTAAATTAGTTTATTATACAAATATAACAAATTAATCATTCATTTCTTATTTCTGATTCTGAAATAATAAAGTACAAACAGAGCCATTAGATTATCTGATTACCGACTGCGCACGGAAAAGTAGTGAAAATGACTGCATTGGTCGCTATGGAACGCTTTGAACATTTGGAAGCTGCCACAATGTGAAAACAGTAGAAGGCATTTTATTTTTTAATCATTTAATCATTTGTTTTTAGCCATTTAGTCATTAGCATTTATTAATTAATGCATTTAGTTATTAGTAATTAATCGTTATGGCATTTAGTTATTTATTTATTTAGATTTTACTCATTTAGTCATTAGCAAAGATGCCAACGTGCTTTGTTTCCGGGTACAAATCCGGAAACCTAGTAAAAAAAGACAATAGACTTTTTAAGGGTGCTAGAAAATCATTTGAAATGCTGGAAAAGATTCATTCCACATGAAGATAAGAAGAACAAAGGCTATATATGACAAGCTCACCTACACTTTCATCCCCAAGGTTGACACTACTGACAAGTGAGATTCTTCGCCACTTTTACCCTAGATACACCCTCACTCAGCTACTTACAGGATGCGGCAACATAGCACTACTTGCATAGATTTAACCTTGAGGACAATCCACAATGCGATTGTGGTATTCAGGAGGACCAAACGCTACTTCACTTAGTTTTTCGCTGCAATAGGTACAATTACATTAGGGATAGTTTAATGAGAGAGCTGCTATTCTTGAAGGGTACAACTGGCCTTGCAACCCGCACTAATTCATTCTCACACGCACAATGTTCCATCATCCACTCGCATTCATATCCCTTAGTGGGGATATTGAGAGCACTCACTCCGGAACACGGATGGCAATTAGTTTTTCCTTGCTTTGTTTCAACTGTCAGTATATAGCTGCCTTTTAACGTTGTATTTTAATTCTTATTTTCTGTCTTCTTTTTTTCAGTCTAAATTCGGTTAGCTTGGTTTCCGGTTAGGTTATGATAGGTTAGGTTAAATTAGATTAGGGTTCGTTAGCTTTAGTCATCTGGTTAGGTTCGTCCTGGGTTATGGTAGGTTAGTTTAATTAGTAAGTTAATGTTTAAAAAATAAAATAAATAAATACAAATAATAATAATAATAATAAAAGTAATAATCATAAATAAATAAAAATTTTTGGGGTCTTGCTCGTTTGCCTTTGTCGGTCCATTTGTCTCATCTAGTTTGTCATTGTGTTTGTTTGCTTTTCATCCTTTCTGTCTAAGCTGTTAAGTAGTTTTAAGATTCATGCTAGCATTCAGTTTTATTAGTATTAAGTAGATATAAGTCTTTCTACTAACAGCCACTTGGCATTAACTTCTACACTTAGCTATTCGTGGCGGCACTCAATTATTGGTGTTCGCTACACTCAGGTTTTCTTTTAGACCCTTCGGGGGACTGCGGCCTTGCATCCTAAATCTGCACGCCAACGTCAGACAAAGAGGGTACTGTAGCCTTATATACAGTATTCCGTTCAGAGAGATCCTACTTTTCTCTACTGTCTATTTCCTCTCCCTCCTTCTTCCCCTCCCCTTTCCCTTACCCTCTTTTCTGCCGGCTAAACACTTCGAGTACGGCCGCTGTCTTTCTTGTATGTATATGACAAGCATTTTGAGGATTAATTCTTAATAAAATCATTTGGTCATACAATGGATGGCCAATTAGTGTCGCTTGCATGTGATAGATTAACACTGATGGATGTTTCTCTATCTAAATTTTTCAATTGTCCTTCTTATCTAAGCATTAAAGGACAACGTCCGAATGCGACGTTGTCCATCAGAGAGAAAACATGACGTTGTCTCCAAGAAGAAATAAATTGATCTCTCAGGTAAGGAGTCGAACATATGTTTTACAGTAATGAATGCGCATGTTTAGTTGTTTACATTTGAATTTTTTTTAAGATACTGTATTAGGTCCACTTTTCTTAAATATGTTGAAAGCAATGGCATTACTTGTGATGACAGTGACAGATGTACGACAACGAATACATTTTTTTACGTATGAAATTGTGAGGCCCAGGATTTAAAAAGGCTGAGAATCGAATAATTTCTATTCATTTCAAACCAAAACGATTTTTTTTAGTTAGGGTTAACTCAAAAAGGAAAAAACAACCGACAAATTTTCTCATAAAAATCGCTCATAAAAACTCCTTTCCCACCACAATACTTCCCTGTAGAAGATGAGTTAACTGTTGTGTCATAAGTTTGTCACTTCGCCCATCATTGGTCAAAGAAGATCATCACCTGTGACGTACATGGGGGACATCTCGAAAACAGAGCCCCCATATAAAAGGCAAGTGCGATGACGACACAAGGGGGAAATTAAGTTCTTTTCTCTATACTGTGAGTGTGTGCCCGTGGATTTACCTGCATCTCGTCTCCACCGTCTTTAATAGACTTTGAACTTCGACTTCGAACTTTGGACTGATTTGAACTTTGAACTTGGAAGGACGAACCTCGGATCAACGTTATAACAACCTAATCAGAGGTATTTATCCTACACGCGATGATGTGTAAGCTCTCTCTCGAATATTCGAACCTCGCGGGTAGGGTCGCGACTATTTTATACTTTGCCGTTACTTTATGAACTATACGGATTGAACCCGAGAGGGATTTGTATTCCAATTATTAACTATGTATAAATGTACGGAATAAACGGGTATTTTGTTAACGAACTTGGATTGGTGTGCGTTTCTTCCGACATTTTCCACTCCATACTGAACCCGAAGTCCTCGACGAGATCGCTCGTGATAATTCCCCATCCATCCGCGTATCTATCCGCGATAAATTGATAGATTGGTGTCAGATCCTGACAGGTGAAAGAATCTAACGATCCTTTCTCCTAACCCTTTTTTCCCATCCTTTAGACAAGCGAGACCGGACCTCAAGGTCTTGAGTCGAGTAAGTGGTAGGAGAGGGACATCCTCGTAAACATCCTACCCCCGATTAGTCTCACAAAATAAATAAACAGTTTATTAGTAAAACAAAATCAAACGATTATAAAAAAAACTTTCAAGTTTGGCAAAGATGTAATAGGAAAACATCATGGCTTTTGAAAAAATTTGAATTGAAATAAAATGCATTTCGCTTTCTATCGGTACTTCTTATTGACCATTTTTGTCAATTTTAATGAATTTTTGTCTATTGTTTATTTTTTTTATTAGTTCTTTAAAATGCCAACAAAATATGTAGAAAAAAGAGTTTTGAATATGTAATATTTAACAAAAGCTTTCTATGAAATAAAAAGTATTTACAAAAATAGAAATAATAATTTTAAATTTGTATTAAGATTTATTAAGAAGTTTATGCAAAACACACGTTAAC